TCCCAGGTAAAACCTCATGGTTATTACTTACTCTTCTTTCCTCTCTTCTTACGTCTAGTCTGTCAGTCTGATACACCTTTCTTTCCCTTTCCTTTCTCACTGCTGCCGCCTCCCTTTAGTTCCTTCTCTCTTGTATGTGGGCAACTAAAATAAGATCACCTTTTCTCTCCACTTCTGATCTACTTACCTGTCTTCCAATCTCACATTGTGGCTATGTGATTTCGGGCTGTCATAAGAAAGTGCCATGCACTGGGTAGCTTAAGCACGAACATTTATTTGTCATAGTTCTAGAAGCTAAGAAGTTCAAGATCAAGACAGCAGCAAACCTGGTGTCTGGCGAGGGCCTGCTTCCTGGTTTAGAGACAGCCATCTTCTCCTTGTTTCCTTACATGGTGGGGAGAGTCCTGTGCTCTCTGTCCCCTTGGAAAGGGCATCAGTCTCATCATGGAAGCTCTGTCGTCAGGACCACAGGACCACCTGAAAACCTAATTACTCCCCACCAAGACCCCCCCTCCAGCTACTGCCAGTCACACTATGGATTAGACTTCAACATATGAATTTGGGGGAGACCTATACATTCAGTCTGTAGCACATTGCCTTTAATATCTGTTAAAATTATTGTTTAATTCATATTCTACTCAGAAATATTCATTGGCTCTCTGTTGCCTACAAAATAAAGTTGAAACTCAGCCCGGTGTTCAGTGGCTCTGTAGTTTGTTCTCAGACCTCCTTTCCAATCCACCTTCCGCAGTGTACCTTTCATGCCAGCTCATTAGGCCTGTGCCATTTCATTGTCTTAGTTCCGTACCCTTCCCTTTGTCTGGAATTTCTTTCCCTATTTTTTTATTCTTCCCACCTAATTAAGCTTTACTTCTGGGAATTATTCACTGACCACCCTAACTCCTAGGGATCACTCACTTTCCCATGAACTCTTGTACCCTTTAACTGTCTCTACTCCTTTGATATAGAGACATTCGGTATGTTATTAATTTTAAGGAGTGTATGATTGCTGGGATAGAGCCCATTTTGAAACTAAAATGGGGACTTTGCTGTCTATATGCTGAGTTTGAGGTCAGGAGAATTTAGTTTCTTGACATAACTTACATATTATAAGGTAGGAGAAATTATGGTTTATCTTAAATCATAATATCTCAAACTCTGAAGTCACAGTTTTTTTCAAACTATAAGAGGAAGTTTATTTAGAAAGCCCCAGAGGTAGAAGAAGTGAGCGGTAGAAGAAATGGGCTCAGGAAATAAGTTACAGTGGCATAAAGAAAGGGGCCCTCGGAGCTGAGGAGAAAGAGGGGCAAGGAAAGCGCAGCTGGGGAGAAGGGGCGGGGAAAGGTGCAGGTGCGCTCTGTGGAGAGAGTCTCTGGAGTCAGGGCTTTTAAAAAGTTTGCAGAATGTTCACCAAATTCTAAAAAGATAAATATTTTTTATGATCAGAAATAATTTTTACATGTAGAATTATAAATGAGCAATCTACTTAAACCCCCAATGTGTATTTTCTCCTACTATTACATCCTGTTTCCCTCAGGTTTCCTAAGTTGGAGGGGTCCTGTAGAGTCTTAAATCAGAGCAAGGCCCGGTTTCAGTCATCCTGCGGTTCCAGAGCAGGTGGCTGATGCTCCAAGATATCCACAGCCTCTTCTCTGAGGCCACACCTGTTTGCATATTCACTATTTCCCGCACTCTTACTCACTAGTGTCTCCTGTGGGAAGAATTTGGGCAATATTGACAGACTGAATTCAGTTTCAGTCCCTCTTCCACCATTTACTAGTCATTCTTCCTTAGACAAGACACTTTAAAAAGGCAAATTGGTAAAATAAGGATATTTACCATACCAGGTTTTTCTGAACATTAATGGTAGCATTTGTGAATACATCTAGCATAATGCCTGGCATTTAGGTACCCCTTTCCCCCACTATCCTTCTTCACAAATTGTTCGTGTGTTTCTTGATTGTTTTTTCTAAAGAAATTGCTAGTCCAGTGTAATGAATTAATATTTTAAGACTGCTGGGAACTGGGTCTGCCCCATAATAAGCACTCTGAATGTATGTTGAATAAGATAAATGATCAGTCATGTGGTTGTTGGTGTTCAATTTTCATTCTCTGCCAGGAGGAGGAGGGCTTACACAGTAACATGTACATTTATTTTTTAATTTTTGTTTTTATTGTATTTTTCCATTACCATTTATTCCCTTATATACTCTTCTGCCTCCATCTACCTCCCAGTAATGTATACATTTGGAATCTCTTCTCCTTTGGGTGTTTGTTTGTTTGTTTGTTTGTTTGTTTAGTCTTGGCTACTCTCATTTTTCTGGGGAGCCAGATGCCTGAGGTGTTGATGGTTTTTCCTTAATTTCCATCCCTGGTCTGTCCCATAGCTGATCCTCCACGGCAGGTGGCTGGTGGAGGCTGGTAATCAGTGGTCACAGGCAGTCCTTGAAGCTGACTGGCCTGGGTAATTCCTCCCATTCATCTGCCAATAGCAATCAAGGCCCAACTATAAGAGGAGGGTGTACTTAACCCACCCAAAGTGTGCTCCTTCAGTACCCAGGTTGGGTAGGGGAGGCTGTGCCACTGGACCCTATAGGACACCTACTACATTAGGTCACACTACTAAGATGAGGAGTCATAGCAGCTCTACCTAATACCTAGAAACAAAACACGGGTAGGCTGCCAAAATGAAGAGACAAAGAAATATGGCTAATATGACAGAACAGATCAAACTCCAGAAAAAGAACTAAACAAAATGGAAAGAAACTATCAGATGCCGAGTTCAAGACACAGGTCATAAGGAGGCTCAAGAAACTTAGTGAGGACCTCAACAGCATAAAAAAGATCCAGACAGAAATCAAGGATGCACTAATTAAAATAAAAAGCAATTTATAGAAAAACAATGGTAGAGTGGATAAAACCAAGTATCAAATCAATAATTTGGAATGTAAGGAATCAAAAAACAATCACACAGAACAAGAAGAAAAAAGAATCCAAAAAAATGAGGCTAATATAAGCTGCCTCAGGGACAACTTCAAGGGGTCTAACACTCATATCATAATGGTGCCAGAAAGAGAAGAGAAAGAGCAAGAAATTGGAAATCTATTTGAAAAAGTAATGAAAGAAAAACTTCCCTGATTTGGTGAAGGAAATAGACATGCAAGCCCAGGAGGCACGGAGAGTCCCAAACAGGATGGATGCAAAGAGGCCCACTCCAAGACACATCATAATTAACATGTCAGAGGTTAAAGATAAGGAGAGAATCTTAAAAGCAGTAGAAAAGCAGTTACCTACCTACAGGGGAATTCCCATAAGACTGTCAGCTGATTTCTTAAACTTTGCAGTCTAGAAGGGATTGGCAAGAAACAGTCAAAGTCATGAAAAGCGGGACCTACAGCCAAGATTGCTCTACCCAGCAGAGCTGTCATTAGGATGGAAGGGCAGATAAAGAGCTTCCCAGACAAGAAACTAAAGGAGTGTATCATCACCGAACCATTATTATATGAAATACAAAGGGACTTATGTAAAAGAAGAACAACATCAAAACTAAACAATACAATGGCAATAAATACATATCTATTAACAATTGGATGTAAAAAACATACTAAGCAAACAAGAAGAACAGAGAGAGACCCATGGATACAGAGAGCAGTTTGATATTTGCCAGATTGAGGGGGAAGGGTATGGTAGAATAGGTGAAGATGTAAGGGGATTAAGAAGTACAAATAGGTAGTTACAGAATAGCCATGGGGACATAAAGTACAGTGTGGGAAAGGGAGTAGCCAGTGAACCTATGCATGACCCATGGGCATGAACAATGGTGTGGGAATTGCCTCAGGGAATGTAGGGTGCTGGATAGAGGGGACAAAGGGGGGAAATGGGGATAACTGTAATAGCATAATCAATAAAATATAATAAAAAATAAAGCAAAAGTTGGCGTGCATTTTGTTTTTGACTTTTACTTACAATGAGTAGCATTAATAAAATAAATCCCCACCATATTTGTTTTTGATTGCAGTTCCTGGGATCATAGCCCCCAAGCGGTAAATTAGAGAGTAGGCTGTGGAGTCCCACTGCCTGGGTTTGAAACCTGCCTTTACTCTTTATGTTAGTGTGCACTTAGGCGAGTTATTTACTTCTGTATGCCACCTTTTCCTCTTTTATGAAATGAGGACAATTCATCCTAAGATTATTAGCAGGATTATGTGAGGTAGCACATGCTGCAACAGTGCCTGGCTCATAGCAAATGTAAAAATGTGGTAAAATATTTAATGACCTGTGACCCCTCTCCACTGCTGTCCCCCCCCCACCACAGCAACCCAGATAAGCTTCATTTGGACTATAAGGTGCACCCCCCTTTCCTCCCAAATTTGGAAAAAAGTGCGTCTTAATAGTCTGAAAAATATGGTGTAACATTCTACAAAATCCTAGGCACCTCAAAAAAATTTAATGTAATGTAATGTTGTGAGGACAAAAAAATAAAAATAAAGCTGCAAGATGAAAGGTAACATGAATAAAAGTCAAATGCAAAGTGTGACCCTGGACCAGTGAAAAATCTGCAACAAAGGACATTGGTGGTATTACTTGTCCAAATTGGCACAATTTGCAAAAAAGAATGTGTAGATGGTAGTTTTCCATTAATGTTACCAATTTCTTGATTTTAATTGTATCAAGTTTTTGTAAGAGGATATCCTTGTTGCTGAAAAAACACACAAGTATTTAGAGTAAAGGGGCATGAGCCTGCAACCTGCTCAAGTGTACAGATCAGAAAAAAAGTGTGTGTGTGTGTGTGTATGTGTAGAGACAGAGAAGGATAAACCAAACGTGGCAAAATGTTAAAAAAAAAAAGTTAATGAATATAAGCTGTTGTATGACATAATTTGGATTGGCCACATGTACACATGTATGTGTGTTTTCCCTTTTGTGTATTGCTCTTTTCATATCATTTCCTTGTGTTGTCGCTCTGTCTAATCTTTCTCTCATGCCCGTTTTTCTTTCAGTGAGGTCTGCCAGTCCCTAGTGAAATATAGCTCTGGAATAAAAGGAAGACTACCGCTACAAAAAGTGCATCTGGTTTCACGAAGTATTTATCATTCACATCATCATCCTACCTTAAAGCTTCAAAGACCCCAACTCAGGACATCTTTTCAGCAGTTTTCTTCTCTAACTAACCATCCTCTACATAGATTGAAACTTTCTCCAATTAAATATGGCTACCAGCCTCGCAGGAATTTTTGGCCAGCAAGGTTAGCTGCAAGGCTCTTAAAACTTCGATATCTCATACTGGGATCTGCTGTCGGGGGTGGCTATACAGCCAAAAAGGTGAGTTTAACTTTCCTACTGCTTGTCCAGTTATTCAGCATGCTTATTTTAAGGTTTTATAGCATTAAGTAATTTTTCTTTAGTGCAGTAAAATATAATTGGATGTTTAAGTATTTATTATGTCCCTGCTATATGCTAGATTATTTTAATGGTGTGAATAGTAATAGGAAAATGCCTTCTTAATCTTAGTTGTAGTTATCAGAGATAAAAGTGGCCTAGTGGAAGGAACACTGTGCTGGGAGTGAGAACACTGTGGTTTGATTTTCAGTGTTGCCATTTAGTTGCACAGATAGGACACTTAAATGGTAGATTCATGCAACCACTTCTCGGCTGGGACGAGAGGCAAAGTGTCCTGACCCTCGGCCTGTTTCCCTTCTATTCCACAGTGTTGTTCAAAGCTGTGTCTTGAAACCTGTTTGAAATGGTAATACATTTTGAAATTTTGCATTTTTCATATTCAGTAAAGGAATATTTACATTTTTATGTGCTCACTTGTTATTTTGTTTTTAGAAGAGTTGAGGCCACTTTGTTTCTAAAACTTTTGAACATAATGCACCCTTCTTAGTAGGTTAGCAGGTTTTAATTAAATACATAAAAATAGTTTTTCTTGTATTTTTATATGACATTCAGAGCATTTAATTGGCATTCTTTCTTATCTTTTAGACTTTTGATCAGTGGAAAGATATGATACCAGACCTTAGTGACTATAAATGGATTGTGCCTGACATTGTTTGGGAGATTGATGAGTATATCGATTTAGGTTTGTATTATCAACATTAAAATACTTGTTTTTTGGTCGTGTCTATAAGAAAGAGAACTAGTTTCGTTGAGATAGTTTCCTAACTCATGAGTTGAATGTTTAGTGGTTGTATTTTAATGATAAAAATAATAGAATATCAAAGAAAAATTTATGAGAAAAAAAGTATTCACTAATCCATCACTTTAACAAAGCTGCCACTGTTTTTATGGAACATTTTCTTTTCATTGTACTTATTCTGTGTATTTAATTAATATTTTATTTTGCTACCTAACACATTTTGTTAACATTTTCCATACTGCCAAGTAACCTTCTCAAACATCACTTTCAATGTTGTATGTTACCCAGAACTGATGCATTATAACCCCACAGCTAGTTATAACCTTAACTAGCTTTTTCTGAATGGGTACCTTGGTTACCTGTATTTTTGGAAACAACGTTCTTTAAAAGTCTGATCTTGTCCAGAGTAATTTCTCCCTATTGTCAGCCACTGTCCCCATTTTCTAATAGGTGAAACAAAGTATTTTGGTAGTTGTGATTGTTGGTAAGCCATGGTGTTCTTTAAAAAAATTTTTTTTGGATGAAATTTTTTCCTCAGTCTTTTTAAACTATCTAATGTCTTTTAGCTTACGTGTATTTGAGGTTGGAATTAATGTCTACATACACTTATTCAGAGCACTTTCTTAAAGGTAAAACTCTGCAGTGTTGACAAAGGTATTTGCAGGAAAAGTACTCTTTCAAATTATTTTTCTAATATTCCAGTACCCTGGTGTAGTGGCTGAGAGCCTGCGTTCTGAACCTAGAGTCCTGGCCTTGACCCCTGCCTGTCTCCCCCACTCCTTCCCTGTGTGTTTGGTCAGCTGCAGACCCTCTGAGCCCTGGTCCTCTCTTGGTCGGCAGGGTTGATGGAAGCCATTTTGCAGAGTTGCTCTGACAATTGTTAATGCATTTAGAGCACTCAGAATAATTGCTGGCATATATTATTATTTTGAGAATATTTATACATTTGGGTCTTCTCCAGAGAAAATGAGAAAAGTTCTTCCTAATGCAGAAGACTCTGTAAAGTTGTACTAGACTTAGACAAAATAGTTGAATGTTTTTAAGCAAAAATAAATGTGTTGACCATTTTATAAACAAAGCTAGCTAAAGTAAAATAGAAGCTTGTCTTGGGCTCTTAATTATTTCCAATTGGTCTCAGGGACTATGAAAAGAGGGAGAGAGTTCTTTTGAAATTCTGTTCTTGAACTTGAACTGGGATGTGATCACGTTTGGGAGTAGACCAAATACTATAGAGATGTTTTTCTTTTTTTTTCTTCTTTGATTCTTTGCCTCTTTGCTGTGACTTCCTCCCAAAAAGTACTTCTGATTCCAGTCCAATGTTAACATTAATACAGTGCTTCTCTCTCAAGGCATTTAACTTAAAAATCCAAAGTCTTTATCTAAACCATATGTTTGGTGAGCCTTTTTAAAAATTTCATGGCTTTTAGAATATCATCAGAATAACACATTGTTTCAGATATGTCTAGTATTCGTAGAATAATAGGGAGAAGATGGGAAAAGATTTTAATTTAAATGTATATGATATTTATATTTTATTCATGTTTTAGTGGTCAAATTATTGCTTTGACATTATAAATGAGTTGGCTTTTTTGTTGTTGGTTTTTTTTTGGTGTTCAGAGAAAATTAGAAAATCCCTTCCTAATTCAGAGGACCTTTCAAAGTTGGCTCCTGACTTTGACAAGATTGTTGAAAGTCTCAGCTTATTGAAGGACTTTTTCACCACAGGTAAGGAAGGACCTGTGTTTGATCTCATTTAAAATGTTCACAGAAGAAAAATAATTAAATGTATTCATTTGTTTATTCCCATCTTTTAAATGAAAACATTTAGTACAAATGTAACATAGTTTTTGAAAAAATATATATATCTATATAAACACAAAGTTTTATTGTGCAGTGATTTTAATTTTTGTTTAAACCAATAGAATGAAAGTTTGCAACAACTTAAACAAGCTAGGCTTTAGTCAGTGAGAGAAAAATATCACTTTCTTGACAAGTAGATGAGACTTCCTATGTGTTTGCTTTTCATATTGGTTAGAGCCAATTTGGTGATTTTAAAACATTTAATTATGATGGACCACAATGAGTAGAATTTACTAAGGTTAATCTTGGTGTATTTGCCCAATTATTGCCCTATCTTGATATACATCTGAGATCTCAGACATCTTTGTATGCTAATTCCTGTTAAAGTTTTACATTTGTATTTCCCCCTTTGCTGATTTTTCACAGGTCACAAATTGGTTAGTGAAGTCATAGGAGCTTCTGACCTGCTTCTCTTGTTAGGTGTGTAAACAGACATTTTTGCTGACCTTACCATGCCTTTTAAATGCTTCTAATAAACTACTTGCAAAGAAAATTGCAAACCAAATTTATAATGCTGCTTATGCTGAACTTCAAAACCCCAGAACTATATTGGGCAAATTCATTTTCCTTTAGGGACAAATAATAAAATAATTATTTTGTAGTAAAACTAAAATTTCTAAATATGTATCTGTATTTTAAGATTAAAGCTATTAAAAAGAATTTGCTTTACCAGAATATTTCTTGAAATTAATCTGATTAGTTTTGATAATTGAAATGAAAAGTAATTTTAGTTTGTCTCATCTGTCCTGTCATAGGTGACATTTTAAATTTATTTTTTACTCTGTGTATTCTTTACATAATGGCAGTGGTATAAACCGAACTGTAAGTACTTTCATATAAAATACTTCTTATCAAAGATTGTCTTATTTTTTCTTGTAATTTTCACTGATAGTTTAAAAAACGTGTTAAACATGTGCTATATTAAAAACATATGTATAGGTTACCAGTGTGTTCCTTAAAACGAGACTGCTTTTCAAAAGCAGTGATATTCACTCTGAAAATCCATTCACCTTTTAATTGACTAAACGTAATTTGGAATTTAGATTATTAACACCACTGGAAAATTTAAAGGACTGCATGTTTATCTTTGAAGGTTCATCTGGAGAAACAGCATTTAGAGCAACAGATCATGGATCTGAAAGTGACAAGCATTATAGAAAGGCAAGTATAAACAAGAATTCTTCATGTAGGTAGTCTTGTAAGATTTCAACAGGTTTTTAACCTACAAGGAAGATTTGAAAATGGTAACATCTGAGGAGCAAATACAAAACACTTAAGTAGAGTATTGTTACTAACCTTAGTACAGAGTGCAAGGTATATATAGCAGTTTTAGAAGTATAATTGGAGAAGCCTGTTTCTCTCAGATACGTTCTGTGAAATATTAATTTCAAGGGTTTGTCTGTAACAAAGGGTTTTGTGGTTAAATATGTATGGGAGAAGCTGGTAAAAGTACAACAAGCAGGCCTCCTTTCTTCTCCTTAGTTTCTCAGATCGTAATGTACTCATGTGCTCCGGGAGAAGCCAGTGTGCAGGGTTTTCCAGGTTGATTTAGCATGGAAACTCTTTTTCATGAAGTATCTTCTAGGGACACGTGTTTTATGGCATGCACTTATGGGAAATATTAAAGGAGTAGGAAATAGATTATTAGAGAATAAATTAATTCTGTTACATTGATAGTCAACAAAATTATGTATGTAGTTATTTAGGGTTTGTCATTTTTAAGACATGCAATAACAAAATCCATATGAAAGTTTTAAGAGAATTGCTTATGTAGAATAGCTTATACATTGCTCTATATTTATATTTTAACCTTACATTTTATTAGTCTTTTACGTTTTGGAATTTGTAAGATAACTGATACCTTGAATATTAAAAATAAGATAGATAGATAGATAGATAGATATCTGGAAAAATACTCTATAAACATTTTTAAAGGTGTATTTGTTTTTAGAGGGAGGGGAAGAGAGGGAGAGAAACATCAATGTGTGGTTGCTTCTCACACACCTCCATCTGGAGACCTGGCCTGCAATCCGGGCATGTGCCCTGACTAGGAATTGAACTGGCAACCCTTTGGTTCACAGACTGGCACTTAGTCCACTGAACCACACCAACCAGGGCTCTATGAACATTTTGAAATTAAATAAGGACTGTGTAGCTTTTTACTGAAGGTTATTATGGTTTTAATAAAATAATCGAGAAGAAATTATTTATGTTTTTTTAAGAAGCAGGAAGAAAATAATTTCTTTGTGTAGGTTCCTATCTCTCTGCCTGTCCTTTAACTTTTAACTTTTTATTCAAAGTTTTCATGATATTTCAGAAGATTTTTTGTCTTTCCTTTTAACTTCATTTTTCGGAAAAAAAAATACATTTTGAAATGTGTGTGTGTGTGCATATGTTTATGTGCATTTGCTTTTTAACTTGATCTTTTTTGATACCTTTTCCATTGGCTGCACTGTAATCAAAGGATACCCTTGATTCATGCTGCTGGGGGAGAAAAAAATTGAATGGAAATTAGCTGATTATGTACAGCTTATTTTGAGCCAAGTCCTTGGCCCTTAAGGCAGGTACCCTTACTGTACAGAGAGGAGCTAATCTAATTGAGCAGAAGGGGAACCTCTGTTACAGATATGGTAGTGTGTTTTCAAGTGACAAGATCTTGTTGCCTAGATTGGTTAGTGGAGGTCTGCATCTTTGCTTTTCTCTGATATGGCCTAGGATTGTATTGGTGAATGAGAAATCTGTTTAGGGCCTGACTCAGATGATTCCTCTCAAGTCCTACTAAGGTGATAAATGAATGATCAATAGAAGATCAGGAGCTCTACGTGATAGAAGAAGCAAGAGAAGGGATCTTAGGGAACTTAAATATACTGGGCTGGCCAAAAAGTCTGTTTAGTTTTTTCCATAAAATAAATAGTGTTTATTTTGAACACTTATTTTGAAAATGAAAAGATACATTTTACATTTGCACCAATATCTCTATTGATCTGGATATTTTGAGTATATCGGCTCTCTCCCACTATTGACTTCTAGTGGGTAGAAGCCAGGGGTGCTGCTAAACATTTTCCAATACATGAGACAGCCCCACAGCAAAGGATTGTTTGGCCAAAATGTCAATAGTACCAAGAAACTTCACAAACCACTTTTGACATGTTTGATCAATCACAGGACCTTGTCCATACACTGCACAGATCTTTTTTTGCCTTTAAGTTGCATCTTTTCTTGAAATAATAAAGTATAATATTCTGGAAATGTTGCTTGTTTTCTTCCATCTTCAGTATTAAAGTAGCTGTACAAAAATTCATCAATTTTGAAAAGTTTTTTAAAAAAATATGCTCTGATATAACAGCTGTCACAATCCAATCTAACAAAGTTGTTTCAAATGAGGTTAAAGACAACTAAGCACTTCTACAGCCATTATATGGAAAAGCTGAACAAACTTTTTGGCCAACCGAATATTTACAGATTTGATTTTATACTATAGAAAGCAAATTTATTGCTTTATTTTGCAATTTACTCCTTTGCTTGTTTGAAGATAAATGCCCTTTTAGACTATTTTCTTTTAATTTTCTCTTAGTTTATAGTGATTATCTTGCCCATTAAAAAACTGACATTATTTTTAACTATAGTAAATCTAGAGTTGGAATTAAGCCGCTTTCTTTACAGGCTAAATCAAATTGTAGCAAATGCTGGTATAAAAAATTACTATACAGAAAAAGCATTTTCAGCCTCTACTAGTGGATCTAATTTTATTAATAAGCAGCCTGATAGTTTCAAGACTTGACTCTTACCTGTGATACTTGAGAATAATGAACCGTTCAGACAAGATGTAGAAAAACTGATTTTAAGAGACCTTTCTACAATTTGATGGTTTAGGGTAATGAAGGAGAGACCTTAGCTTAGCCCTGGCCTTTTTGGGAGTACTTTAAAATATCAAGTTTGAAAATTTGGGCAATGATCGGAGGTGGTAGGTTAGCATCCAGAGTTTAGCTGACACCTTTTTGATTGGTTCAGTCTGGTGTCTGAAAGCTCCAGATTTAAAATGGTGTTCAGGGTTCAAAGCAGTCATGCCTTAGCTTAACGATTGTCTGGTTTGTGCCTAAGTTTCTGGCTAGACTTCTATTAGAAATGTAAAAGTAAATGCGAACCAAATTTTTAAAAATAATGGTAACAAATTGAAAACATTTCTACCAGTAGAACTAAAAAAAAAGATGTGTTTTCTAATACAAGAACACATCTGGAGAAGTGCTGGCAAGTAGAGGAACAGTTAGGACCTTTCAGAGTCAACTGACGTGGGAATGGTGGGGAGTTGAGGGGACACAGATGTCAGATTGTTTGACTTGAGTCAGAGTGAACAGCGTAATGGAGTGATGACCTGTGGTCTTCAGTCTGGGGTCGCTGGACCCTTGGGTGTTCTGGAAGGTTGTAATGGAGGTCTTCAAGAAGTCTACAGAAAGCATACCTTTGCACATAACAATGTATGGGCTGACTAGACTCAAGTTCTTTGATTTTTGCCTGGATTTATACCCATTCATTTTATGGACAATAGTTACTCATATGTTGCTGAAAAGTTCTGATATGTATCTTTCATAAATAAAAAATGGAAAAAACACTGAAACCACTTTTTAATAAATGCTTTTTGTTAATCAAAAAATTTAAAACTTGTATCCTCTTTAAAATATTAGAAGGAGCCCATAGTGTGAACTGAGTAATATTTTTGAGACTTGGAGACTTTTAGAACTACCTAAAAACAAGTTAGAAAATGGAATGGTGAGCCTATTTTAGTGAATTAACTTATCAATAGATTTCTGTATAATAGTCATAATACATTCTGGGTGACAAGACTACTTTGTGTATCTCCTTTAGATTCAGTAAGATTGTTACATTCTAGTGAAAATTAATTTGTTAAATGAGATGTTTTATTATCTGTGCTTTTGTTCTGTGTTTCTGATTGTTAATGACCATATCCCAGAAATAAGGGTGCGGTCATTCTGAAGGTTACAAGCACAATTACAATTTATAGAAAATATTTGGAGGGCCTTTTAAAAGTCTAAATCATGAAAAGGGATATTACTGCTTTAAATATCATTAAACAGTAATATGTTACTGCTCTTTCTTTTCACATTACTTTATTTCTTATTTGTGTGGCTTATGTTGTACCTTCTAGCTGATATAGCTCTTTCCTTTTCCTCTGCCCAATTTCCACTCATCCTAAAAGCCCAGCTCGTTTGTCACGTTCATTAAGGCTTCTGTAATCATTTTAGTTGAATTAATTATGCTCTTAACGTTTAAAACACTTGCGAAATGTAACACTATTTTGATTTGCATTCTTGCTGTTGATAGGATGTTTCTACCACAGAATCGCTGTTCTCAGAGCACCTAGGATAGTGCTGAGCCCTTAGCAAAATCATTTGGTTAATTTAACTCAGTAGAAGAGACTAATTTAAAGTAATAAATTTGATCAACGCCAGCAAGAGTGGGCCCAGAGATTTTATGCAATGTGTCTTTGGTCTGATTACCTATGAATTTCTCTTCACCTTCAACATTTGGCAGCTATTGAGAAGGACAAGAATTATGAAGGTAGTGCATATACAACTAAATTTGTAACAAAGCAGTGTTGCTTAAATAGTATTTACATTTCTGGGATTCCTTATGTAACAAATGTGGTAACTGGCAAAATGCAGTTCTCACAACCAGCACTACATCAGGTAACTACCAACTTAAGAAACTTGAGTTGCCTGGGCATCTAACAGCTAGCAATTTATGCTTGGTTGGATTCCTAGCCAGGAAGCCAAATCACTTGTTTAGTGAATGAGTCGGTGGGAAGCAAAGGGATCAGAGGAAGAAAAGCAGGGACGATCTCATGAGGACAAGTGGAGTGGCAAATCAGGCAACCTTGTTTTATTCCTTAGTAGTAAGCACACTGCATTTTTATGTCATTTAAAAAACATTAAATATATACTGTGTACATACACAGTGCAGGAAATTTACAACAAGGGGGATTTTGTAGGAATTGTAATATTCTTAATACTTTTGCTAATAGACTGATTTGTTTATCTCTTAAAATTATTGTAGCCCTGGCTAGAGTAGCTCAGTGGATTGAGTGCAGGCCTGCGAACCAAAGCATTGTTGGTTTTTTTGATTCCCAGTCAGGACACGTGCCTGGGTTTCGGGCCAGGTCCCCAGTAGGGGCCACTTGAGAGGCAACCAACCACACACTGATGTTTCTCTCCCTTACCCTCACTCTAAAAATAAATAAAATCTTTAAAAAAAAATTAAAAAATTATTGTAGAAATTTTCCAAATAGTAAAATTGGATATAGTATTTCTGAACTGGAGCAAGTTAAATAATACAAGTTGAAAGACACATTTCCTTCTGATAACCAATAATAAACATTTTCATTTCCCTATAAATATCATGAACAGTTATATATTACTGGGAGATTTAAAAAATAGTAAAATAGTTCTTTTTAGGTTGTTAAATAACAGAGTTATTCAAGCTGAAAAGTAGTTTGATGACTAGAAATATTTTGTAAATGTAAGAGGAAAGATATCTTCACTTTCATAAAGTTCTTTTCTGACCCCAAGTTACTTATAAAAGTAATATAACAGGGTTTGGCAGACTTTCCCTTAAAGGGCCACAGCGTAAATATTTAAGTTTGTAGGTCCTAAGACCTCTGTGGGCAACTTAGCCAGCCCACCATAATTTGCCTACTCCTCTAAAGGGTAATTTAAATATGCCTTCCAAAGTATTGTAGTATTACCACTTTCTTCTTTAAAATGTAGATTGAATCTGGAGGGTCAAAGGTCCTTTAAAAATGGTGAGACCAAAGTGGTAACCGAATGGTGTCATGTGCAGATTTTGTAGTCACACTGCCTGTGTTCAGATCCTGCTTTTCCTGCGTTCTGAGCTGTGTGGCCTTGGACAAGTCCCCTAGCTTCTCTGAGTTACTGTTCAATCTTTGTTAAAAGGGTTGTTGTGAGGATTCTGGGAAGCCCTTTAGCACAAGATCAGGCACATAATAAAACTAGGTAAGTTTTGGCTGTTAGGGTGATGATGATGATGATGATGGTGATGATGATGATGATGATGATGATGATGATGATGATGATCACCGTCATCACTGTTGCCTTACACTTTCAGTGCATGAGTTAACGTATTTATTTCCTCCTCTTTTCTTAATATCAGTGGAGTGTGCTTTCGGGATTGCAAAAAATGGGAAAATGGATTGTAGGGTTGAAGTGTAGCTTATGTACAGAATAGGCATTTTTTAGGAAACCAATTTGGTTTTACGCTGGAAACTTTGTGTGCAGCATTCAGTAAAAGTAGGTTGTGGTTCGAGTCGCTCAAACAAAAGACGTGTCAAGCCCTGCTCCAGGTGCTGGCTCTAATACGTGCAATGTGTCAGGCATTACACTAGGTGCTAGGTATAAAAACAAACAGGATAAGGGTTCTGCTTTGCTATAAATTTTTAAAATGTGTGAAAACTGTAGTATTTTAAATGTATTCACATATGTATGACTTGAAATTTCCAGATTATTTAAATTTTTTTCTATCAAATAAAGTTTTGGTTTTTGCAGCATTTTCAGTTGATACTTTGGTTTCTGGAGTTATCACTGATTTTCTTGATATTACATTATAATTTTTAAATTTATTTTTAGAGAGAGGGGAAGGGAGGTAGAAAGGGAAAGAAACATCAATTGGTTGCCTCTTGTACACACCCCAGCTGGGGACCGAACCCACAGCCCAGGCATGTGCCCTGACTGGGAATTTAATGGGTGATGCTCAACCAACTTAGCCACACCAACTGGGGCCAACGTTGTAATTTTTTTAATTACACGTACTGAGGACTCCGTACGTGAAATATGAGACTGAGAGTTGCAGTGTCAAGGTGACAGTAGCTAGAGGGTTAGAGAGTATATTGTCTGTAGTTATTTACAGTAACTTAATTGTTATTTATAACAATTGTATTTGATATATGTATATATATCTTTAAAAAATATGTGCCATTTCTTAAGAGAAAAATGTCTGAGTTTGGGAAAATATTTATTGGAAAAAAATGTGTTTTGTCCATTTGAGGAGTGTGTCTTGCTTAGTGGATACACGTATTTCTCCCCTTCCTTATTCCGCATGGCCTTAACTGAGAAGATGCACAGCCTACTGCCTGGTATTCAGGGCGAGATTTAGTGCCTGAAATTGGATAAGGGTAACATCCTTTAGTCATGTAGCATAGTGTAAATAGCTTTTTCTATTTTTCTGTGTCTGATTTTTATTTTCTTCCTACTTCTTTCAGGAGGTAACAGTAAATTTCAGCTCTATTCACGTAACAGTGCTTCTTTCAGTATCAGACTTGGAAGGAAAGTGAAGTATCACTAGAAAGGGGGTGTTTTCTTGTAATGTAATAGACATGAGAGTATTTACCATACAATTTGTGTATGTATATATAAGCAATAAATTAGGGAGGGGTTTTTAAGCTATAAATAAAAAAGAACCATGTGCTGATAGACCAGCACAGTTAAGAAACTTGGATGATTAGAAGTAACTATGATAAATGATTTAATAAATAAAAATAAGTTGGGCCTTTCTGTTTGATGAACGTCAATGATACAAAAAATGAAAAACATGACACAAGAAATCATGGGAATGATGAGGGTAGTGAGTTGGCATTGTCTTTCTTTGATAAACTTTTCAGTGACCATAAAACTATTTACTTAAAAGATACATCTTTATAAATAAGATTTTTATAAATATATTTTACGTTCACTTTGAAAACAGATGTTGAAATTTCAGTTATGTTACTTGCCACTCTGATGTTCTCTTGTCATGCAGAAATATCAACTAGTTTCATCCTTTGATTTATAGTAAGGCAGCCGGTGTCATTATTATGGGCAATGATTGTAGTTTCATGTGTGAAAACTAAGAATCAAACAAAATTAAAATCCCCAAAATTATAAGCTAATACTTTCCCTTAGTTTAAAATGCTTTTTTTGTTTGTATTTACTTCTTTTCTGAAAAACTTTTTTATTTTTCTAAGTCTTTGGGTTATATGAAGTAAACCTAGTTATAAAGAAAGCCCCTGGGTAGAACTACTAATTAAAATTTGAATGTATTTTATCTTAAGAGACTTTCTAATTAAATTATACGAAATAAAATGTTTTTAGCAGTTGTTATAAAAAGCTCTGAAGCTGTCTGAAACTCCTAATTTAAATTATTGAGTTATTTTAATTAATATCAGTTTAACTTTTTACTTTTATAATCTGGTGAATATCTAGCCCATTGTTCTCCCAGAACACCACTCTTGTGCAGGTTAGCGACCTAATTCATTGGAACTTGATCTTTTTTAGGGTTTCTAATTGAGAAAACATTAGGCTTGTGACATTGTCAATTCTTACTTGTCTTTTCTCCCACATTCCTCACCATCACTTGTCTAATAGCACAGTAAATAAAAATGCCGTACAGAAAATGACATGTATTTCAGTATTATGGCACATGTGAATACATTGTGATAAAAACTGCACCAGATTAACATTTCATGATTATTAAATGGAATAAGTTTTAAACATTGAAATGGTGATTATTTTGCACATAGGCCCAAATTGGTATATTTCTTATTTTTAATTTTTATAATAATTGTTAATTGTGTAGTGTTATGGTGCTTTTGCTTTAGTAATTAATATATTCTATATTGTCAGAGGCTATTTTTATTTAATGTCAAAACAGCTCATAAAATGAAAATTTAGTCAAACTACTTATTTGGTACTGTCTAAAGTCAAAACTGCTTAAAACATTTTTTAATTTGCAAAAAGAAAAGCTCTAAATTTTAGTCAAGTAAGCTTGTGTGTATAGGCATATAGAATATATGGATTAATGTAAAACCTTGATTAACTTGATGCTCAGAAACTCAAATTAATAGTTTTGAAAGACTATACCTTTTAATTGAAGACATCAGATATCAAGAAAAAAGATTTACTGAAAAATAATAATTCAGTAAGTAAGTAAACCACTATGTATTCTCCATTCAGTCCTATGAGAATTATAGTTGAGAATGAAAAGATTTAGGCCTGTAAGGTCAACACTGTTCAAGAACTGTGTCTTTTTTCCCCCTCTATGTATCAAGTCTAGATCATACACTAGCTTATATTGGCCCTTCAGAAATAAGGGTTGACATAATTTGTTTCCTGTTACTAGGAAATTTACTTAATTACAGCACCAACTTCCTGAAGATTCCAGTTAGTCTAGGTTTTATTGTAGGTTGATAATATATATCTGGTTCATTTTATTCAGCAAACAGTCACTTATTACATTTTCCTTTTCACTTTTTAAACTATGCTGTTTTTTATTTCTGAGACATCTAATTTTACTGAGGGGGAAAAATGGAAATGTAGTTACAGAGTCCAGTTATATAGTGGCTCTAAAAGTACATAAATATTTCCATTTTTTGTTGTATGCTGTCCATTCCTCCCTAACTTACATCTGTTCCTTTCTTGTGCTCTTTGGTTTAACATTGTTCTCCTCCCCAATTTTCCTCTTCTCCTCATTGTAAACTCATGGCAGGGTCTGCTTGGTGAGCTCATTCTCTTACAACAGCAAATTCAAGAACACGAAGAAGAAGCACGCAGAGCTGCTGGCCAATATAGCACGAGCTATGCCCAACAGAAGCGCAAGGTGATGGATGGTTTAAGGGGGCTACTGATGTGTTGACATTAATCAACCATTTCTACCAAGATCATGTCACCTTAATCCATTGAGAGATTCCAATTAGGAGAAGTTATTTTTGACAAAGTAAAAATATGAACGATACATAATACAAATAGGTAACTTGCCTGGAGTGGGTACACATACCCAAAATGTATATTCTCCAAGAATTAGATTAACTGTGAGGGTCCATGGCTCTGGGACCCTCACAGTATTTAGGGGAGGATTGTGAATTGCGATTTACTTGGTCCAGTTATTTAGTCATCCTAAGTTCATAGCACCTTGTCTGTTTACTTGTTTTCTAAGTTTTTATTTCTAAAATGAAAAGGATTACTACGGTGACCATGTTAAATTTAAAGAATGAAATGTATTTGTTGTAACTGAAATGGATCAGCAGAGAACAATTTTTTTTATAGAAGAATACTATTTTGATTTAACTTTTGGGAATATTCTTATACAGACTGATAAACTCATTGCATTAAGTTTGTCCACATTCATCAATAAAGTCAGCACAAATTGTACCTTGGATCACTGAGAAAAACATTAGAAATCTGATCTAATTCTGGTCACTAAAGAACAGGTTCTAATAAAAATCAGCATAATCTATACAAATATTTGGTTTTAGGTGCAATCAAGAAGTCCTTAAAAATGTGCTTTTGGCTGTTAGATGACCCCACAGCGTAGATCCCCAAGGTCAGTTGTTCTAAAGGGACGTCCGAGTCAGAATGAAATGAATGTAATGATGTTAAAGTTACACTCTGATGAAGTCAACTAATGATCAGTTACTGTGACAGAAAAGTTTTAAAGTTATGTACAAATCAACCTCAGGAAAAATTATTCATCCAAACATATAGTTAGCTTCCTGTAGGTTCTGATATTGGATTCAGCCAACATTACAGATGATGATTTAGTGCACTTCCACTGGCTCACTTTATCTCACTTGGTGGTGGCTAATACTTGAGAGCACGTACCCCAGTTTCCTTCATGTTTTCAGTGTTACTTCCTGGCTTTTCTCAGTTCCATGGCTGTGGGATCAACAGCTGTATATTGCTTAACTTTCAGTGAATGAATAACATAGGTAGATAATAGAAAATAAATTATTTCCTTACTTCATTAAAGCATGTGCGTTACCAAGGAAAGAGCTCATGCAGTGACAGTAGATTAACCTGCCATTGCTGCTTTTGCCTCCTGTGAATATGCACACATGCATAGAAACTTGTATGAACCTGTTGTATATGGATTTTGGTATTTCAGAATGGCTTGCTTAGTAGGAAGAGATACTTAAAATCTTAAATTCAGGCTTGATTGTGAGGAGCTAGCAAAGGTTTCTGTGTTCCAGCTTTAGTTTGGTTTTCTGTAGAGGGTTCTGCTCTTTCTCCATAAGTTTCACAGCCCTGGAATTGTAGAAAAATCCCAGTTTCAAAACCATTGACACCCATTTCTGTCAGAGTGAGTTTAAAGTTAATTTAGTAATGCAAACTGAATATATTAAACAATAGGACAAGAACTTATTCTTGTCATAAAATGGTTGAATTTTATCAGCAAAGTGCATCAAAATAAAATATACCCAGATTGTTAGTTAAGACCTTAAACAAGTCACAGATTAAAAATAGCATGTGCTAGTCTCTTAGGAAAATATGTAAAAGTATCTTCTCATTAATCTTTAATACTTATTTTGTAAACCTAAAGGTTTTTACCTTGTTTCCTAGAAAATATTAGGTGTAGTTCTTGACTCCATTGTCACTTGTAATGTAACATTAATTTTGATGCTCCATTAAGCTAAGCGGATAGAAGGTAAAACTGTGCATGAGTTATTCTTAACAATCATGCCAGAAGGGCAAATGATAAATCTGAATACTAAAATAGGAATTCCTAAAATAGGAATTTATAGAAATCTTAACAGTCATGATACTAAGTGCCATTAGCATAAGATTGTGCTTGTAATGGTCTAATAACCTTATATCATTTTAATTTTTGTATACCCTTCTTATTTTACCAAATTACTCAGTTAACTTTCTAAGCCCTTGGCTTATAGTAAACAGTCTAGTGACTTTTTTTGTATAATTGTATGAGCTTCCTAATTATTGCCCTACTGTGTAGAATAATGGTGAACTTTCTATTGTAATTTAGGATATATTGCATGAAATCATTAAATATTCTCATTCAAACTAAAACAGTTTGTGCTAATGCTGTTTATACATTTCATACTAATTTAGCTACTGTTGGATGAATATTTAATGGAACAAAGTAAATCAAAGTACCTTTTAAAATGAATTGGGAATTTAATCAACATAACAGAAATTTTATGATCTCATTGATCTCATTGTTTTATGATCTCAGAGTGATTGCATGCTATATGATCAAAATGTGGAATTATTTTTTTCTTTATTAGCCTTCAATATTTGTTCTTTGGTTTGTGGGCTCTTCTCCAACTTTCTTGGTTCCTGACATTTTAAGAGGCTATTAATAATAATTCCTGTCCAATCTATGTAAACACACAGTAAAATAAAAAAAGTTTTCTATCCCCAAGTCTCTGCTTGCTATACAGGAATGAGAAAACAACAGTAAAGTTTGTTTTATATTATCTTTTTTCTAATTACTGAACCATATTTGCAGATTTTTTGGCATAGGCTTTTAAGGAAAAAAAGAGTATGTACCTATTATTGCCAGCAAGCTTTGTAATTTTTACTTAAAAGAAGTATTTGGGGAAATTTTTGAGAAAGTATTTGGAAATAGGAATTAAAATCTCGAAACAACTGCATTGCATGGATGAGAATTATTAATGCCTTCTTAAGCAAATTACTTAAAATTTTTTCATATACATTTACTACAATGATGTCTTGATTGCTTAAATAGCCAATGAATGACAAGGATTTACATGAATTTTAACATGGTTTTTATGTCCTATGAAATAAATTCATGTTTACAAATTTTGATTGTCAGAAAGTAGACAATTATTTTGAAAGACCAAGGAGGACATTTTCTGCACCTCACCAAGGAGTCAAAGTGCAGTTACGTGGATTTGTCATAAGTGACATCATTTTGATTAAAATTGATCATTGTGTTTTATATTTACAACTGTATTGTGACTACTTTAAAGCCTATTATACAGTAAAGTTCTTTGTCGTTTTGGAATATTTCATCTTAGAACCATTAGTATTAATAACAATTTGAAGTAGTTTCCACAATACCTGTGGATTTTGTCCTACTTTTGTTTTATGTACAAATTAATTTTAGTTGCTTTACTTGACTTTGTTGCAACTGATGCATTTGCTATGTGTTAGCAGACCATGCAGTAGAACTGGACTTAAAAACAATCATCTGGCTCCACTAGAGCTCTGAAAATGCAAATTCTTTGCATTTATTAAATACTTCCCTACTTACAGAAGGGAAATAGATAGTATTTCCTTAAAATGTACACTATGATCAATGGACTTCTTCAGTACCTGTAAATAATAACATGTATCTGACTTCCCAAACACATTTCTGTAGGGCTATCAATGCTTTATTTCTCCATGCATCCAACTGCCTGTGCCTGGGTACAAAACAGGCTATGAAGAACTAGCAAGCCCTTTATAAGAAAAGACTAGAATGTCAACAGGAAAATGTTGTTTTCTAAGGTTTTTACTTAATGTAAAATTTTGATGAGCTATTTTTATTGATGAATACAGTTGTTTTTTACTTAAATATCATTTGATTTAAAATTTGCTTTGATTAAATATGCATGCAAAGTCAGCTTTTACTCTTAAAAATACTTTTTCAAAATTTTAACTTACTGTACACTCAATATCAAACTAATTCTACTTAAAGTTAATTTATTTTAAATATTTAGGTGTCAGACAAAGAGAAAATTGACCAACTTCAAGAAGAACTTCTGCATACCCAGGTAATTCTGATGAGTGAAAAGAACCAGGGATGTTTTTATAAGTTGATGTGGAGATCTATTTTTTTAGCAAAGTGAAATTTGGAATGGTTTAATGATAGAATGTTATTCTCAGTGCATGCAAAAGCTAAGTGAGAAATAAGGAACAAAGAAGGACCTTATAAATGTGGTTGACTCATTTATGTTTGAAAACCTACTTTTGAGTGAATCTTGTGCTTCTAATTTTTAAGAAAAACTATGGAAAAATGAAAGAAAGTGGCTTGTCCTTATGTAAACCTATGCTTGCATTTTTACATTTATAGGCTAATTAATTTAGGTAACAGCTACTAATTAAATCAAGTCACAATTGAGTTTACCACTGTTCTAGTGAGCTCTCAGGAACTTTTTCCTTTGCTTCTCTAAAGCCCAAAACCAATCAGATAAGTTTTCTAAGGGTATTTCTGGCACTACTTTGAAAAGCTATTCTCATAATTGATTATAAAGTTATTATTATTATTATTATTTTCAAGATGTGTTGTTCTGTGCAACGTACCAAATAGGTAACATTCCAGTACAAAATTGCCTCGTCACCCACTTCATTGTTAGTTATTCTACATAGATAACAATAATTTGCAATATTTAAGATATTTTTACTTGGGGTCTCTCTTTGTAGGGGAAAAATTCAGCATTGGGTAATCTAGCTGAAATTAATTAGCATACTTTGAGTCACAGGTTTCCTTAATATCTATGAATTGATTCTCACATGTTAGAATTGCCTGTGTTCTGGGCATAACTGTGTATGTATTTTTAAGCCTTCCTAGCCAAGCAGTTTCAATCTGCAGCCAGAGGCTAAGAGTCATTGGTCACAGTGTGGTCTCTGGAGCAGTAGCATCTACCAAGTAGTACTTGTTAGAAATGCAGATTATAGGCCCCATTCCAGACACAATGAATCAGAAACTCTGAGAGTGGAATCCAGTGATCTTTGTTTTTAAAAGCCCTCCAGTGATTCTGATACATTCTTCCATTTGAGAGTTACTGGTCTAGAGCTTTAGAGGACAGCACAGTAACACATCTCTGTAAAATTGCTACGGAATGGAACCTGTACCAAAGAATGATTTCATCCCCAGAAATTTCGTAGATCTGTTATTGATTCCATATTTACAAAGAACTGAGCCCGAGGAAATCCTACCTACCACCCTTAGAACATTCATTGATATTAACCCTTGGACTTGTGTGCAGTGATAGTTGATAGCCACTGAGCATTGGCACAAACACTGTATGGAGAATTTATGGTATAATTAAACCTGGGGTTATCTGTATCAGTGATATCCAATAGAAATACAATGTAAGCCACACGTGTAATTTAAAATTTTCACATTCCTATGTGAATAGGAATGCAGAGAATTGATTTTAATAATATATTTTACTTAACACAGTAAATCCCAAATAGTATCATTTAAACATGTAATTAGAATAAAAAATGTTAGGTGCTTTATTTAATTATTTACTTACTGAATCATAGAAATCTGATATGTATTTTACACTTAACAGCACATCACAACTTGAACTGGCCACATTTTATATGCTTAATAGCTGCATGTGACTAGTGGCTACCATACTAGACAGGAAAGATCTAATTCTTAAATGCTGCAACAATTTTGTTATATGCAAGGTCTGTCTGGAAAGTATCCAGCCATGTACTATGAAAAGAGACATTTACTGAAGAAGATATAAGAAACATTGTACATGGGACAGTGGTGCCTCAGTTTCCTCCAAAGTAGGCACCTGGGACCTCACTCAGTTCTCCCAGTCACCATCAGCTGCCCCATTGTATTTTCTGGAATCTCATTGACAGTCTGAAATTTCTTCCCTTTCAAAGGAGATTTTACTTTTGGGAACAGGCAGAAATCACAAAGCACCAAATCTGGGTTGTAGGGTTGCCGAGTCACCTGGGTAATTTGATGTTTTGCAAATAAAACTCTGCACAAGATGTGATGTATGAGCAGGTGTGCTGTGGTGATGAAACTGCCAATCACCAGTTGCCCATAGCTGGGACCTTCCAAATCATCTGAATAGTTTCAGGGGAGGAACGCCCAAGCTTGACCACACAGTACACGTGCTCATTCAACAGCGTCTACCACCCCCACTGACTTGTACAGTGAAGTCGTCATTGTTCATGCCTGTGTATTCTGGTCCACTCTCCTTGTCTGCTAGGTTATATTGATGTCACACAAACCATTCTCATTAAAGTAACAGTGGTTGGGCTTTTTCTAGATAGACCTTATATACCACTATTTTTATATACTATTACTACATAAAAGTGAGTAAGTTCTGTAAAAAAAAAAAAAAGGTGTATAGTATAGTATAATCTAACCTATAGGTCTGTTTGTTTCATACTATATAGTTAAACTACATAATTTGTTTTTCTTTAATTTGGCTTAAATTGGACATTCTCTGAGGATAGAATCATGATTTTCTATCATGTCCTCAGATGATCACAACCTTAAAAAGTAATTCTAAGAAATATTTTCCATTATAAAAGGCATGATATTTTAAGTTGAACATAAACATTCTGCTGGTTGTGGGATGGAATAATTCTTAATAGTTTTCCAAACCTTGTTAATGCTTAGAGAAGAAATAATAATGTATAAACTGAAAGGACCAATTACAAAAGGTCACATTTATTTAAGAAAAGTGTGTAGCCAAGCACATACGTCAACAAAACAACCTGCTTAAATATATTAATTCTTCTTAAAATCTGTTTTTATATCAGCATTTTAAAAGTTAATGTACAATCTCTGGCCACAGAAGTTTACCAAAACTTGGAAGAGTTTGAGCCCTTGACTCAAACCTCTGTTCAGAACTCTGAACCTTTGCCTCACGTGAAGGCTTCAGGAAGTCAGTGCAGGTGACACAGTCACTAAAGGGCCTGGCACATGCACATAATGCATGCTCAGGTACTGTTAGCTACTACTCTTTTATACCATTTCAGTTAAAACATAAAATAATTCAGGGAATGGGAAGAATTTGAATTTTTGTCAACTACCCCTGTAATGAAGACTCAAAATTTTGATGTAAAAGGAAATGTTGCTTCATGAGATATACCTAAGGACAGTCTTCTTTAAATGCTTCCATTTCTAGCATTTTAAAATAATTTCTTCATTGTAAATAGAATTTTCCATGTGAAATGTCCAATTATAATAGAAAATTATAATGAGTTTCAATTTGTATAATATTCATAATTTACTTTATTCACTCAACACTTTCGTAGGAGCTTTTTAAATGAAATAATTTATTGTAAATAGGAGATAACAACTTTAACGATTTTGGAAGCTTTTAATTTAGACTTAATTAATGTTATTTATTAACCTGTCTTTTTCCATATAGTTATGGCATTATTTTGTTTCAGTTAAAGTACCAGAGAATCTTGGAACGATTAGAAAAAGAGAACAAAGAATTGAGAAAATTAGTGTTGCAGAAAGATGACAAAGGCATCCATCACAGAAAGCTTAAGGTATTTTAAGTTTTTCTTCATTCGCTGTAGTTCTCAGAACTTGGCCACTTCACACTGCGCGTTCACGAACACCAGTGTGTGAGGAACCATGCAGTGCTCTGTGCTGCTCTGCTTTCTCACCTGATATCCCTCGGGGTAGGGAGGTTCTCTCCCTGTATTAGGACAGTTTACAAACTGTAGTTTTCAACATTTGTTTTAAACTGTGTCCATTAAGTCTACATACTTTTAACAGGCATTTCTCATCAATCAGTTTATTTTCTGAAATTCCTAGTTTATCTTTAGGCCAGTTTCATTTCTGTAGCTATAAAATCAGAATTCTGAGTGGATGGACATTTATATATGACTTACCATCATTGCCTAACCAGTTTTTCCAGAGTGAATGATTAGGCTATTTTCTTCAGTTTTAAGAAAGTTAATATTTTCTTCTGGAAAGTTCCTTAGGCATTTAAAGAATTTTTGTAAAAGCATATGCTGGTACTGTTATCAGCATATTGATAATTACGATTATCAGTAAATTAAATTTTATTATTGTTCACTAAACCAAGCTGTATGTGCTAAATTAAATTGAAGTAATTCTTTTAACTTCCATATACATAAACTGGATTTGTATGTAGCAAAACTCCATAAATCATGGCACATACATTTGGTAGCCTTGGTCCAAAGAAATGTAATTGTAGTTTAACCAACACGTATTAGTAGTTCTGACTTTAAATCATGACTGCATAAAACAAATAAATAGCATGTTTTATTTACAGATTACGCATGGCAATTGAGAAAAGTTATGTCCAAGTGTTAATATATTTTGAGAGTTTATCTCAGAAACAGCATTTTCTGTCATAAAATTAAGTGGCAATGAAAATTTAAAGAGTTTTTTGTTTATTTTTCAGTAGAGGGATAACAGTTGCTTCCCATTTATTATTTCTAGGTGTTAAGAGATTAAATCAAATATTTATTTGAACCTTGTCATTTGCCAGGTACCGTGTTCGATCCCGTTTCTCCGTACAGGGAGAAACAGTGCGAATGCCTGCCCCCGGTGCTCGCAGTTTAGTCTGCCCGGTTGTCAAGCACACTTGCTCGTGCTTACTGATTTAAGAGTCCTTTTGGTGATTCTTTCTCCACTTCAATGCTCTTTTCAGCCTTTCTTCCCCGAGGCCCCCACTCCCCCCGCCCCCCACCATCCATTTATCTATCTCTGTCTCTGTATCTGATACATACACCACATTTGGTAGAAGATGATTTCCTTTCAGTTGGTCACCTGGCCCATTATTTGGCTTTTATGGTATTAATGGTATGACTTTGTTGGGCATTTAATATTAACTTTTCAATATTAAATAGTAACTTCCCTCTTTCACTATTTAATTAGATTAGGAAACCTGAATTAATGTACTTTAATAATCAGTGACTCTCAAAATAAATTGGATAAGAAGAAATGGAATTTTATTCTATACTGTTTTACTATTAATATATTTATATAGAAAAAACTATGATGATTATGTGAAACCATTTTGAATTGATCAACTTTTTTTTCTCAACACATCTGTGGTATTTTTTAAATGTTTTCACTGTTTAATGTTAGTGTTTTTAATTTTATAGAAATCTTTGATTGACATGTATTCTGAAGTTCTCGATGTTCTATCTGATTATGATGCCAGTTATAATACACAAGATCATCTGCCAAGGGTAAGTGAAAAATTAATATATAGTGAATTATTATGCCCATTAGCAAAAAAATACTTTAGGTTTTAAGAAAGTTGTGTGTATATATATGCATATAAGTGGGGATTCCCCAAAACACCTGGAATTTATTTATAAAAGTTGTGTATTTATTCTTACACATTTAAACTTCAGTCACCATAAAAGTTACTCTCCATTTGAGGCAATACACCTATCGAGATGTTTTTTCTCTGCTCAAAACAGTTTTTGAACTTACTGATTTTGATGCCTTTTAGTGCTTTTTTGTTTCACCTCTTTGACATCAGTAAAACGTTTACCTTTAAGGATTTATTTCATCCAGGAAAAAAAAAGTCACTCATTGAAAGATCAGGTGAATAGGGAAGGCAGGGCATGGGGTCCATGCCATTTTTGGTCAGAAACTGCTGAAAACTCAGCATGGTGTGGGCAAGTGTGCCCATATGTCACCCATCATGAAATGGACAAATGCAGTGAAAGAGTCTTCCAAAAAAATTTTTTCCACTGAAGCTGAATTCAGCCTCTCACAACAACGCCAGCTGGTACACTGATACAGATGGGTTCCTAGAGCACTTACCTAGCAGGAGAAGCCTGTACTATAAGGGGCCCATCCTCCAGAAGACAATTTCAGTTTTATTTGGGTCCCCCCCTCATATACATACACACAATACATACACATGCATATATACACACATAGACTTAATCAGAGACATACATTTTACCTATATGTTATATATGTATTCCAGATGATGTCTTAAGTATTGAATGTTGTTTGAGTATTTTGATATATTGAACTTAACATTTATATGTAATAAAAGAAGGCTATTAGATATATGGCATTATATATTCATAATATCCATGATATTAAAGTACCTGAGCAATGGATAAAATTTGGCACATGAGTGAAATTTAACCTCATAGAATTGAAAATGTCTTTGTAAGCAGTAAACTAACTATGGGAAAGATTTGTAGAGCATGAATAATTTTAGAAACAATGGTTTAAATTAATGTAGGTTTTTAATAAAAATTCAGCTATAAATGGATCCAATTCATGTTTTCCTATTTATATTTTCAGTGTGCATACATGTATCAGCTATCATTTTTTCATGGACGATACTATCATTTAACTGTAGATATTTTAAAAGACTAAAAAAATCTCAGCAGCATTGCAAATTAAGTAGATGCTGATATTGAATAACATGAGTAAGTGTGACTTGTTTTGTGGTAAGGTTGTCGTGGTTGGAGATCAGAGTGCAGGAAAAACTAGTGTGTTGGAAATGATTGCTCAAGCACGAATATTCCCGCGAGGATCTGGGGAGATGATGACACGGTCTCCAGTTAAGGTAAGAAAACGGGCCATCCGAATGACGTTCCTTAGGAAAGGAGCCGCTTCAGTGAGCTTTGTTTATTGTGTTGAAGAATTTTCACTACAGAAAGAATTGACACATAGCATTTGGAATTATTCCTATTATAGAAGTCAGTAGAAGGCACAGCCAGCAGGCCAGTGTGACCGGAGCTGAGTGAGTGAGGAGAGAGTGATGGGAGAAGAGGACAGTGGCACAGGCTATACTTAGGCCTTTGGAGTTTACTCTGAGTAAGAGAATGAGAATCTTGGAATTAGAGTAAGTAAACATAGATAATTCCCTGGCTTTCATGTAAAAAAGGGTAGAGAAATGGGACAGTAGCGGTTGAAATATGTTGGCTCAGTGGAGTGTTTTTAAAGATATTTACATGCTATATGTAATGCCATAGTTGGGGGAAAATGATGCAAAAGAGAGGGAACAGAGGGAGCAGAGTCATTGAGGTAAAAGAGGCATGGACTCCGTGTACAAGTTGTCCGCGTATAGACGCCCTAACAATTCATCCATGGTCACAGGAAGGAAATCCATGGCTACAAAGTCTTTCATTCACAGGATATTTATTAGGTGCTTAATATGTGCCAGCACCGTCCTAGGCAGTGTGCTGGTGGACAAAACAAAGACCTTCACCATAACAGAGGAGAAGTTCTAGCAGAGAGAGATAAGTAGGGGACATAGTAAGTGACTAAATTACATGTTATGTTAGAAGGTGGTAAGTGTGCAAAAAAGAAAAAAGTGGAGCCAGACAGTGGGAATGATGGTGCTAAGGTGTGGGTGCTTAGTTGAACTAAGACTTGGAGAAAGTGAGGGAGGGACTAGTGTGGCTATCTAGTTGAAGAGTGTTTTCATACAGTGAGAAAGCTAATGCAAAGCCTCTGACAAAGATGGCGATTATGTTCAAGGCCAGTGTGGCAAGAACAGTGAAAAGGAGTTAGGTGATGAGATCAAAGGATTAACGTGGTGGCAGGGGGCGGGGGGGGGGGGTAGTGGTGTCAAGGGAGCAGATTATTAGAGCCTTGTAAGTCATCGTGCAAACTTTGGTTTTTATTTTGAATAGAATCAAGCCAATGGAGGGTTTTGAGCAGAGTAACATTACTTTTTAAAAGGGTCACTATGACTGCTGTGTTGAAAATAGACATAGGCCCTGACCAATGTAACTCTCTTGGTTGGGGGTCATCCCACAAAGTGAAAGGTCGCCAGTTCGTTTCCTGGTCAGGGCACATGCCTCGGTTGCAGGTTTGGTCCCCAGTCAGGGTGCGTATGAGAGGCAACCAATTGATGTTTCTTTCTCACATTGGTGATTCTCTCCCTCTCTTCACCCACCCCCCCCCCAAAAATAAAATAAAATAAAGAAAGAAAGAAAAGAGACATAAGCAAGAGAGGTAGAACCAGGAAGACCATGTAGGAAGCTGTTGGAGCGTCCAGATGATACTTGGACCAGAGAAGTAGCAGTGAAGGTGATAGAAAATCATTGAATCTATTATGAAAGTAAAATCAACATGATTTTTTGACATATTTGATATGGAAAGAGAGAAGGTTAGTTGTCAGGATAGCTTGAGGTTTTTGACCCAAATAAATTAAAGCATGTCATTGGCAGGGGGGAGTCTGGATTATAGTGAGTTTGCTTTGGGGAAGAAAATCAGGAATTTTGGACTTGCTAAGGGGTGTTAACAAATTAGCAGTTGGATATACAAGTTTGGAGCACAGTTTGAGCTAGAAACTTAAATTTAGGAGTCGTAATCAAATATCTAAATGTAGTGTATGAAGCCAGTGTCTCACTGGATAGGATCGCCGGGGTGGTGAGCAGAGATAGAGAAGACAGAACGAAGGAGTGTGTCCCAGGCACTCGAACATTAAGAGACTGAGGGAGTTGGAAACAACGAAGGAGCCTGCGTAGGAGAACCAGTGTGGTAGGAAGGAAACCAGAACAGTGCAGTTGGTGTCCTGAAAGTCAGGGGAAGAAAATATGCGGGAGAAGGGAGTGACTGGCAAGGTCAGTGCTGCTGAGAATCAGAGAAAATGACGACCGAGAACTGATTATTGAGTTTATAGTAGAGGCAAGTAAGTAGAAATGTGGAAGTTTCCTTCTGATTGCTTCCACTTCATCAGTGACCTCAGAACCTGGATTATCAGCTGTTAAGTAAAGAGAGGGGAGAAGGTATTGAAAATTGAGTAAAAGGAAAGTGTGAAGTCTGTTCTGGGCAAGTGGTGAGTTGGTACGGGAAGTTGAGAAATACCGGGATTGCTGAGGGGTACTGACATCCCCATTAAGATCCATGGTCACAAACTTAAGAGCGAACTGTATGGTTGTGTTTTATTTTTCTTTTAGTGCAGCTGGTGAGTGTACTCCTCAGAGTAACTTAGGAGTTGGAAAATTGGTGTCACCAAGAATGAACGCCAGAGTAGTGGCAGAAAAGGAGGCCATGAGACTGATGCTAAAATCTTTTAGAAATAGAGCCAGTTCATAACTGCAACCAGCAGTCCAGTATGATTCATACAGCGCACACGTTTGGGATCTGACTGAATTCAGCCAAGTCGTGTTGAGCTAGTTCTTTTTCATTGTTCACTGGGAATGGTTTTCAGCCGTATGCCACAGAATTTAGAAACATGCGGTACCTGACCAGTCAGGGGCACTTACCTCTTTTCCCTCAGATTGTCAAATAAATAAATGACAACAGCCAACACAACAATAGCCATCTGGCGCAAGTGAATCAAATTTATACCTATTTTTTTTAGATTGGCAAAAAATACATAGTTTTCTGTGTGCCACAGAATTTTAGTAATTAGTTTATGTATGCCATGAGATGAAAAAGGTTAAAAATAGCTGTTCTATGGTGTCAATTGAATGTACCACACTTTACAGATCCATTTTATATTGATGGGCATTTGGGATACTTTTAATTTAGAAAGAAAAAAATGAACTGACCATACCTGATATAATGTTCTGTGGACTGTAACAGCATTGTAAACCAACCCCCACATTGTACATTGTGATCAGCACCCTAATTGTAGTGGCTGTGGTGATGTTGTATTTTAGGAAGAGCTCACTTTCTTCATGCAGCATGGACAGAATGCTGGAAACCCATTAGGCTGGTCATCTTTTCCAGTTTCCCTTGCTCCTCTAGTGTTTGTCAGGACTTCTCTTCCTTGGTAGACTCTGATTTCTACATTCTTCTTCCCTAGGACTGCATAGCATGTTAGCCTCATTAGCAGCAGCTTTCTGCTTCATTTCTTTTTTTTTTTTTTGCAATTTTTAAAAATTTTAATTGTTGTTCAAGTACAGTTTTCTGTCTTTTACTCCCATCCCAGCCCATCCCCCAATCCTCCCCACCTCCCTCCCATTTCCACCCCCCTCTAGTTTTTGTCCTTGTGTCCTTTATACTTGTTCCTGTAAACCCTTCGCCTTTTCCCCTGAAATTCCCTCCCCTCTTTCCTCTGGTCACTGTCAGCCTGTTCTCTATCTCAGTGTCTTTGGTTATATTTTGTTTGTTTGTTTTGTTGTTTAGATTCCTGTTAAAGGTGAGATCATATGATATTTGTCTTTCACTGCCTGGCTTATTTCACTTAGCATAATACCTTAAAGGGAAATTGTGTGCAGACTGTGGGGCTTGGAATTTGGAGATTCATTTCTGCTGTACATTTCTGTCTGGGTTCTCTGGGACTTTGGTACTCTAAGACGTGGCTGCTTGAAAACCCTGGCTCCTCAACCCAGTGTAACTGCTGTAAGTCTTGAACTTTTCTCTTGGGCTGCTCTGTGCCACAAATCAGCAAATGCCCTGAGGAAAAACAGCTGCAGGAATATGCCCCCCAGACCCTTTGGGGTCTTGGACTCAGGCCACAGTGCTCTCTGATTCCTTCAAGCAGCTGGTTTTGGTTTGTTATCTAACCTGTTTGCCTCATCTCAGTAGAGGGAATTGTGTTTTAAAATCAGATCATTATAGTGAAGCTTGAAAAGTAACACTTAAAAAAATCAAGGAATGTGAAATTAAGAAATTGAAACCACTGACTGTTAATCTATAAGTTGTTAGAGAGTTTCTTGCTCAAATGATGCTCCTTGGGGGAAAGCCGCCTCAGCTGTCCTGTGCTGAGTACCACTCTCTTCTTTGGCACCCTAGGTTTTGCTACACTGTTCTGATATCTCTGGATATACCTGTCCTAGAATGGAGATATATATACACACACACACACACACATAATAATCTAAAGCAGGGACAGTCGCTTCTTCATGTGTCCCCACCTACAACACTTGACACAGTTACCTCTCAGTAAACAGATGTTAAATAAATGAATTGTCCTTTTCCTAAATTTACATGTGAAGTTAAATGCAAGATTTTCAATTGATGGTTTTGTGTTCAGTATACAACATTGAATGTGACACAAGAAGGGCAGCAGCATTTTAGGTCATCAAAGATATAAAGTAGTCAGCAACGTTGTTGGGCAATCACAATACATGTGACAGATGTGTGGACAATACAGATAGAGAATTCTGTGGTCTCCATGCTGCCATGTTGGCAGCCCCCAGGGATGCTCCTCGTGTGTGTAGTGTGAAGGGGCGCCTGGACATGTGCAATGAAGTGGCTTTATCTAGACCATGTAAATGCTGTGGGAATGAATATAGATTGTAACTCATTATTACATCTCAATTTCTGTTAATTTCAGGTGACTCTGAGTGAAGGTCCTCACCACGTAGCCCTGTTTAAAGATAGTTCAAGAGAGTTTGATCTTACCAAAGAGGAAGATGTAAGTAGCATTCATGTGAGGTTTATATGTGTAACTTTATAGGCTGCATAAACTTATACAAGACAACTTAATGGAGTGTTTGGTAACTGAAGATTTTCTTAGGACTTCATTGTTTTTCTACTTACAGCTTGCAGCATTAAGACATGAGATAGAACTTAGAATGAGGAAGAATGTGAAAGAAGGCTGTACTGTTAGCCCCGAGGTAAGTGTTGCAATTCATTTCAACAATGTTTTATGGAAATCTAATGGTTGTGATTCGAAATAAATCATGGTTTGGCATTGACATTTAGATTGCCACTCTTCCAAGATAACAGGTTTGGGTTTTTTTTTAGTATTCCAAATAATGTATCACTTTGTGGGTAATTATCTAGCAGCAACACCTGGGAACATTTTAGGAACCCACATTCTAAGGCTGCACCCAGGACACATCAAATGATAAATTGAATTTAGGGCCCACCAGTGTGTAGTAACAGCTCTCCAGGTGATCCTGATTAGCCCTGAAGCTGGAGAACCACTGCTCTAGTTAAGTCTCCCAAATTTACACACACACACACACACACACACACACACACACACACACACACACAAAACCATGGAAACCTAGAGAGATTTAGTGGCTTGCCCAAAATATAGTTACATTTAGGATCCAAAAAAAATAACATTTTTTTCTGAGCACCATATCTGAATGGATAAGGTATAGAATTTTCAGAATATATATGACCAAAGAATTCCTCACAAGCTTCCTCCAAATTAGTTTTTCTTTTTCTTTTTTTCCCCCTGAGTAGACCATATCTCTGAATGTAAAAGGCCCTGGACTGCAGAGGATGGTGCTTGTTGACTTGCCAGGTGTGATTAGTGTAAGTATACATAGAACTCGTATTTTATCTTATTCCTGTTGTGGAAAACATTTATAATGACACTTAAATCCTTTTCTTTAAGACTGTGACATCAGGCATGGCTCCTGACACAAAGGAAACTATTTTCAGTATCAGCAAAGCTTATATGCAGAATCCTAATGCCATCATCCTGTGTATTCAAGGTAAATCTTATCAAAAGAATTTAACTGCACTGATAAGCTTCCCTTAGCAATCCAAGCTTTGCTGTAAATATGCAGACTATGTAAACATACAAGACGAATATGTTTCACCATCTCTTATTCATTTCACTAGTACATAGAATTGAGATCGGGGGTATTTTGATAAATTTCACTGTATACAGGCATCATAGAAATTGTTATTGGCTAGTGTATCTTTTCGTAACAAAGATGAGTTAAGAAAATCTTCCTTAGTATAATGTAGACACAAAGATGTAGCTTGTGGGAGTTTTTAAAAGTCCACTGTGCAATTATTAAGTGTTGTTTTTAATTTTTTCAGATGGATCTGTGGATGCTGAACGCAGCATTGTTACAGACTTGGTCAGTCAAATGGATCCTCATGGGAAAAGGACCATATTTGTTTTGACCAAAGTAGACCTGGCAGAGAAAAATGTGGCCAGTCCGAGCAGGGTGAGGCCAGCAGATTGTCTGTACAAGCTCCCGCTGTGACAGGGGCTGTTTGTAAATTTTAAAAAGTCCTTATGGAACACTTTATGGATTTTTCTTGGTTCTCTGTAAAAACAAAGCATTGGAAAGTTACAGTAAAGTACTTAGGTACAATTTCGAGGTGTAAATAAAATTCCATAATTATAGTTAATTTGCTTTACAAATACTTAAACTGCGCATGTTGCATACTCCACTTTAAATAATTTTTCATGCTGACATACAGTCATTAACCTTATTTGTGGTGCTTCTCTTTAAATTTTCTAATTGTTGTTCATAAATTGATTTAAAACAAGTGACAATATATCTGAGAACAGACTGAGACCAGAAAAAGAAACAAAACAAAACAAAACAAACAGCTAGTGACAATACAGATTCCTTTTGGACTAGATGCTTTTTTTTTTCGTAGTGTATTAACATCTTTCCTAACCGATCAAAGACTGTATGGCAGATTTTTGTATTAGAGAAGGCATTACACTAGATGCCAGGTGTCAGCATTCTTATCTATGCTCCAACACTAAAGGAGTGTATGCCTGGGCCAATCTTGTTATTTTTTCAGTAATTAGTGCACAATCCAGCCAGTGATTTTCAACTGCTGTGCTGCTGCAGGCACACTGGTGTGCCACTAGGATTTTTAAAACATGCAGTACTTGACTATTTAGTCAGGGGCACTAACCTTTTTTAACTTATATTGTCAAATAAAAAATAACAACAGCCAATACAGCAATATCCATTTGTTGTAAATGAATCAAAATTATACCAATTTTTTGGTGTGTTACAGAATTTTAGTAATTAGTTTATGTGTGCCATGAGATGAAAAAGGTTGAAAATCTCTGGTCTAGGTAATCTCTAGGGTCATTTTCATTTCTGCAATTCTGTGACTCTGACTTCTGTACATAGTGGTCAGTGTTCTTCCTCTCTGCTTCTTGTAGCAAGGAAAGAAGTTTATTTCAAGGTAGCATGTATAAGTGTTACCAAGGAGCAGGCCTTGACTTGGGTCATGCTCTCTACTTAATTGTAAAGGTATAAGGTGCCCTGGTTAAGAGTGCAGAAACTGTAGCCAGATTGCCTGATTTCAAATCCTAGCTCTACTCTTTGTTAGCTGTGTAACCTTGGATAAGTTATTTAACATCTTAGTGGGTTAGGCTCTCATTTGTTGGAAATGAAGATGTTAATGGTATGGGCTCATAAGTTGTCAAGGTTTAATGAGTTGAATGTTTGTTTTAAAAATAATCAAAATAATCCTTGGCACAAAAGTGTTATACACATGGTGGCTGTTGTCTGTTCTCATTGTTATTATATCTTTATCCCTCATGGAACAACAACTTTAGATATAATTGCCCATCCCTCATGCTACTGCTTAGAATTGTCTCCTTTCCACCTGAGACTTTTTGAGACTGTATCTCTCTATTGGGCTTCAGAGACAGATCACTCCTACATTGACTCATTGTCTAAGAAGGACCCACAGGACTAAAACACATAGGCATGCTTAACACTGAAGATTTATTACAATGAAAGGAGACAAAGCAAAGTCACAATGGGAAAAGGCACAAGAGATGATGTCTAGAGGAAACCAGACTCATGTTTTCCCAGTAGAGTCACAGAGGACATGCCTAGTCCCTCCAGCAACAGGTTACTCATTAAAGACTCAGCACCTAAGCTTTTATTGGGGCCTGGTTTTGTGGGCACCCTCAAGTACCAAAATTCCAGACGCCCAAAGGAAAGCAGATGTTCAGCATAAACCACACTGCTTGCACAATGAGCTACTGTTATTTAAGGAAAGTTTTATATTAATATAGGGAGTTGTTTACTAGCTAAGTTCCCAGATACCAGACTAGGACAAGCAGGCCTTTCTAAGGACAGCATTCTCAGGCCTGCTGTGTTAACTCTCAACTCTATGACCTTTGCTTTGCCTTGTTTTATGGGTAAGGCCTGCTGTGGCAGTATTAGTCCTGATATGGACACGGGGAGAAGTGAGGTAAAAGTAAATTTCTGTGCTTTTTGCCCATCTCTTCAATCCTTTCGTTTCTTTGTCTTCTTTTCTAGGATAGTGAGTCTGTATTTCTTTTGAAATGCAATTGAAGCTTATATAGCAGTCCTTTTTTATACCAGAGTCAGCGTCAGCTTAGGGATGTGACCTGTATTGGAAGAGGGATTCTTACATCAGTAAGTCTTCATCTGAATGGGCTTCTGGAGTAGGAACTCTGACCTTGTACAGATGATAAGTCTCTGTGCAAATGTGAACTTTCTACGGAAAAAGTCTGTAATTTTCATTACGTTTAAAAAAATATTTTTTACCCTAAAAGAGTTGAGAACCCATGGATTCAATTTTTTTTTAAAGTTAAAAAAAAGACAGTTCAACCTGGTTAGACTTTAGGTATTTCAGGAAGAATATGGGGAAATAATAGCAGCTGCCATTTACTGAATCTTCTGCACTCCTGGCACTGTGTTAAGTATCATTTTCACTTCTTAACAACCACTTTGAACAAGCTGTAGTGTATTTAATGCCACATAGCTAGTTAAGTGGCTTAGTAGAAATTCAAACAAAGGCCTGACTCCAAAACACTACACATTATTGCAGGTTTTAATTTGGTACTTGTGTTTTAATAATACATTTTTAATATACTAAAGTTAAATATATTTAGTTTTTCCTCAAATAGCAATTGAACTGCATTTTAATATTTTTGTATAATTTACATATTTAAATGAACATATATGTATATAGCATTATTAAATTTGCTTTCTAAATAGTATATAATGTTCTTTAAAATTATGTAAGCCTTCATCTCACATTTATTCTTCTCACTTTTAAAAATAGATTCAGCAGATAATTGAAGGAAAACTCTTCCCAATGAAAGCTCTGGGTTATTTTGCTGTTGTAACGGGAAAAGGTATGCAGAGATGGATTGCTGTAATTGAAGCTTTTGTTGTTTTCAAGTAATGAACATTAATTTTCTTAGAACTTTACCACCATCTTTCCCTAGGCAACAGCTCTGAAAGCATAGAAGCAATAAGAGAATATGAAGAAGAATTTTTTCAGAATTCAAAGCTCCTAAAGTAGGTATCTTGTCTAAAAATTTAAAGATGTTATAGCGAGGGGCTAGTTTAAACTATTTTTACTTAAAAGTTAGTTTATAATTGTTAGTTTGACATTGACTCTCCAAAATTTTTCCCAAATGGTGATCTGTACCTACTAAGCAAGTCCTCTAGCTACTCTGGCAGGATGGGGAGCAGGTCATCACGTGGTGCTGTCCATGCCGACACAGCAAACTGGCCCTGGTAGTGTGGGCAATGAGAGACTGCATGGACACCTCTGAAGCTGATTGACTTTTAAAGTGATTTTTAAAAACAAACACTTCATTTTAAATACATTTAGTCTTTCACTTACAGTATTAGGGAAGGTTGAAATTGGACTGAAGATGTCAAAGGGATATTCCTAAATAAATATTGACAGAAATTAACAGAAAATAAATAAGATACTAACAGAAAAAGCAAAAGCATGAGCTAAAGAGCAACTGGTTTATAGTAAAACTTTACATGTAGAGAGTCTCTTGAAGTAGAAAAGTGTGTTCACTCTATATTGGTATGGTAAATCAAGGTAGTTCTTATAATCTCAAGTATTATCCAGTGGGACAGGAGCTGGCAAGCACATAGAACTGCTGTCCAATACAGCACAGCAGTCACTATCCTTGCATGTTCGTTTAAATCTAAATTAGTTAACATAAAATTGAATTAAATTAAATTAAAAGTTCAGTTCTCAGTCACACTAACCATACATTTCAAGGGCTCAATAACCCCATCTGGCTAGTAGTGCCTGCCCTATTGTATAGTTCAGATATAGAACATTTTCTTCATCACAGAAAATTTTATTGGACAATGTTGGCATAAAATGTATACGTGGCTGTTCTCAGTAGCTTACTGTAATGAGCACATTCTCAAACTTAGTATAGTCCTTTCACCATTTTACATATACTTTAACTCTTGTTACTTTCTGCAGGGCAAGCATGCTAAAAGCACACCAAGTGACTACAAGAAATTTAAGCCTTGCTGTATCGGACTGCTTTTGGAAAATGGTACGAGAGTCGGTTGAACAACAGGCTGATAGTTTTAAAGGTAAGTTGGGTTTCTGAAATAAGGCAACATATTTAGATATTGCATTACCTGGCAATTTTAGGCACTCATCAGGTTCTTTACTCCCTTTTTTTAACAGTTGTGTTTTAGTTCACGTGCTATCAGATGGTATGTGGAAAGTAGAAAGAATACAGTCTTCAGTTGTAGCACTGCAAGAATAGGATTTTTTCCTTTCAGAGGGAATATTGCTGGGAGCACGTGAGAGTTTAAACACATTATAAAGTTTACAGGAATGTATGGGAGAAAATGCTTAGCTAACTACAGTGAAGTCAGAGTCCCCTCTAAGGAGGAAATGGATTAGGAATCAGAGCAGCCTGTGCTTCAGCTCGTCCCTGAGTCCTGTACTTTCCTGCTCCATGGCTTCCATGGTTTCATTTGGTGAGAGTGTACATTTCTTCTCTTTTCCCATTTAGATATCCTACCTATTTATTCCATTTAGTCCCTGAGCAACCTTGTGAGTATTGTTATTGTTCCCATTTCACGGAAGAGAAAATTGAGGCACAGAGTACCTTACCCAAGTAACATACCCAGTGTCACACAGTGGCAGACCCAGGATTTGAATCTTAGTGGTGTGAACCCAGAGTCCATGCTCTTAGCTGCTGTACTAACTGCTTCAGTTGTGTGTTTTGTGGATTGAAAATGGAGAAACTAGAGTCAAGGAGATTCGTTTGGGAAATTTGCAGTAATGAGATTCTGAGATGTTGAGAGCCCAGAGTACTCAGGAGCTATAGGAGCATTCAGTTAATGCAGGAGATATGCAAAGTAGCCTTTAGCTTAGCCACTGCATCTGGGGAGAAAGACAGTCCTCAAACTTGAACATCTTTCCTTCTTCCTCAGCAACACGTTTTAACCTTGAAACTGAGTGGAAGAATAACTACCCTCGCCTGCGAGAGCTTGACCGGGTAATATTTGTGCACTTCGTGTATTTTGAATATATGTAATCTGGAGATTTTCCACTGATGTGCCATAACAATTTTTAAAACATGCAATACCTGGCTAGTCAGGGGCACTGACCTCTTTTCCATTAGTGTCAAATCAAGAAATGACAACAGCCAATACAACAATAGCCATCAGGTGTGAATGAATCAAATTATACCTTTTTTTTTGGTCAGATTGACAAAAAATGTATTTTGGCTGTGCCACAGAATTTTGGTAATTAGTTTTTGTGTGCCGTGAGATGAAAAGGGTGGAAATCACTGGTCTAACCCAGTTTTGTGCTCTGACAAGAGTTACGTTGGCAGGTCAAATTCGGTAAGCCAAATTGCTTTGGCTTTGACCGTGATTACTAATGTAGAGCTGCAAGAATACATTTCCAGGAACAGTTATCATTTCTGCCGTAATTTAAATTCTTTTTCATAATAGTAAAACATAATTAGGGACCATGGGATGTCAAAACAAGCATTTAAAAATATTTTCTGAGATGAATATTTTCAAGGTCTTAGAGAATTAATGTATTTATGTAAATGTAAACTTTTAAAAGTTATACATCAGTTTTTTTACCTTTTCAACATTTATTGTGGAAGAATGCACTTCAGTTTAGTGGGATTTAAATTCTGTTTTTTCTTGATTTTAAAATGCCATTGTTTACACCATTAGTTTACTAATATACTAAATTAATATATATTGATACTTTCATATAACATTTGTGTGGAAAATTTATCTGAACAAATGTTATGTGAAGTTAAGTGAATAAAGTAGACATTTGTTTCATTTTCTTTGTCCTTATCTGGATATTGGGGTTTTTGAAAAAGAGATTAGGATAGAAGAGCATTATTTGCTGGTCATGCATGCTTCGGACCTGAGCTCATCCTACTGGCTTGTCAGAGGCCTTCTTTGTAGTCATCTCTGAAGATCATGGCAGAGCACATTGACTGTCTCATGAAAATCTTACTTACTTGTATCTGTGTTGCCCAGAATGAACTATTTGAAAAAGCTAAAAATGAGATCCTCGATGAAGTTATCAGTCTGAGCCAGGTTACACCAAAACATTGGTGAGTATTGGACCTTTTCTCAAAGACTTTACTATGTGAATTATAATGAAATACTAAAATTTAAATTGATAAAGCAGTGATTTATTGTAGCCTTGGCTCATCCCCAAAACATAGGCAAGAACATAAAAGTATTATAGTCCAATTAACTACTTACATAGAATAAACTATATGTTTAGTGTCTTTCAGAAGAGATATTCTGAAAGATAGCTTTATACTTTTTTTTTAATCTTGCTTCATCTTAGGCTTTTCTTTTTAATATGTTTTATACAAGTCACATTTCAAATTGAATCCTGTTTGAATTTTTTTAATAACAAGTAAATGTATCATTTTGAAAAACACTCATACAAATCTTTCAAGGCAAACTATTACCTTCATATTATGTTTTATGTAAATTTGGTCACTCTCAAATGTGTTGGAGTAGACACTGTAGCCAGAGTAGTGCAAATATACTATGTCTAAATAGCCTTGAGATTCTTGCAATCATATGTCAGTTAACAAATTCCTTGTGCATATCTTATCTTTCTAATGAAGTCTGTAATGTTTTAAAGAATTTATCACTCTTATAGCATAATTATTTTTACTGCCATTCATTACAAAATTTCTCTACCTCTTCCATTTGCTTAGTTGAAGATTATCAAAATTGACCTTGTGTAGTAGTGTCCATTACTTAAGTTTGAATTCGGTATTACTAGTTTCCCCATCTTGGTGCCCTTCCTCAAGAGTGAAGCCTTTTCTCTCATCAGATAGTCACAATTGATCTTGACCTCCTCTCCTTTTAAAAGAAAAGGATTCTGATCTGTACTTGTTGACTGATTATATATAACACAACTTATCTTTGTTTTTGTTTGTATTGTAAGCCAGTTCTTTGGCTTTCTGTAAGCCAATTCATTTTTGATGTAGCAAGAGATAGATGTGTGTGCGTGTTCCAATTCTGTCCAAAAAGTATCCAGCCATCTCATATGAAAAAGAGACATTTACTGGAGAAGATACAAGGTACAAGAAACATTGTATATAGGACAATGATGCCTCAGTCCTCGGCAAAGTAGGCATCTTGGGACCTCACACAGTCCTCCTAGTTGCCACCAGTTGCCCTGTCATATTTCCCTGAATCTCATCAACACTCTGAAATCTCTTCCTTTTCAAAGATGATTTTAGTTTTGGGAAAAGCCAGAAGTTGCAGGGCACCAAATAGGGCAATGGGTCACCTGGGTGATTTGATGTTTCACCAAAACACCCTGCATGAGATGTGATGCATGAGCACATGGGTTGTCGTGATGAAGCTGCCAATCACTAATTACCCATAGCTGCGACCTTCTGAATCATTTGAATAATTTCCATGGAGGATTGTTCAAGTTTAATGCAAAATTTTATGCAGATTCATTGCTACACTCGCTCATTTTAAATGTGACAGACACAGGACACATGCTCACTCAATGACATCCGCCAGCCCCACTGACTAGTACAGTATAGTCATCATTGTTCCCACATGGGCATTCCAGTCCTTGCTCCTTGGCTGCCAGGTTACATTGATGTCGTGCAAACCATTCTCATTATATTAGCAATGGCTGGACTTTTTCCGGACAGCCTGTGTGTGTGTGTGTGTGTGTGTGTGTGTGTGTGTGTGTGTACCCACAGAAAATGAATATAATACTACTTGCCTTACTTGGTTGTGTGAGGATAATGTACATAAAAGGTGATTTGTAGGCTGTAATAACTAGTAATGCTATTTATGGGAGAAAAATGTGTTTCTGTACATTTCTGACATCATCAAATGGCATGGTTGGTTTTTACTGGACAGATCAAGTCTGAAATGAAAGTATACCAGCACTAGAGCAAGCCTTGAAGGTAAATCTCCTTTATTTAACACATAGGTGGCCGAGGAGGATTGTGAAGGGACAGGGAACCTATACTGCCAGATTGCTTGTTCAGATCGCAAGGGAGAGAACTAGGACCTCTGGCTACTAGAGATTTATTCTGTGTGCTGCTGGATCAGATGATTTTGTGCATTTTCTTCATTTTTTCTCCCAGGCTCTATAGCTTAACACAAGCATTGATCAAAATAGCATATCCTAATCTTAACTATTCATGCCACATTGAATTCAACTGCAGTGAGCCCAAAATGTTTTATTTTTCTGACATGATTGGTGCTGTGTCTTAGGTAGTATCTTTCTGCTGCATAATGCCTGATATGATATTTTATAATATGTGCCTAAGATGCCTATAATTATTTAAGTCACAGGACTTTTTAATCTATATACAGTGATCTGGAAGCAGTGTTATAAGCATTTTATGTCCTAACATAAAATGTTATGTTCTTATATATATTCCACTATACTTTAACAATACTTTAAGAAAGTTATTGGGGGGATTAGGCTTGACATATGGTGTATTATAGTGAGAAATAGCCTCTCAACATTTTCGTGAAATATATCTGATCATTAGGAATCAATTACTGACATTAAGCAGGAGATAAATTGATATATCATTAACATTATGTGACCATCATCACAGATATATATTTTTAAAAATTTTATTTATTTATTTTAGAGAGATGGGGAAGGGAGGGAGAAAGAGAGGGAGTGAAACATCAGTGTGTGGTTGCCTCTAGCACACCCCATACTGGGAATATGGCCTGCAACCCAAGCATGTGCCCTGACTAGGAATCAAACCAGTGATGCTTTGGTTCACAGGCTAGATATATTTTTTTAATTTGTCATTTAGAAGGATAGCTGGCTGGATTTATAGAAACACTTTTTTTTTAAAAGAAATGGTATCATAGTATGGATCCAATGTTTGGTGAAAGGTATTAAGTTTATTTTGTTGAAGTTAAAAGACCTCTTGATAAGCAGAATGTTTTTGTACACTGTAGTTTTATATTACAGTAGAAATTAGTTTGGGAGATGCCAAATGAATATTTTCTTGAGATTTCAACTTTTTTCTTGATTGAAGTAGTTGTCTTTTTCTTATAGAGATTTTCCTGTAAAATAACCTTTATGGCAGAATTTTCCATTTCATTGCACATCTTTTATATTGTTATCTTAGTCATGAAGTGTTGAACAATATTACCTAGCAATATCCTGTAATATCTCTCTTGTGCTGTGGTTGATAAAATTACACCAACTTTTCAGCCTTGGACTCCAGTTCACAGTCAACACATATAATGTATATATTAATAATAAGCAAACAAGCCAATGAAGAGATGCTTAGAATTATTAGTCACTGGGGAAATGTAAATTAAAATCACAATATTTTACCACTATAAATCTATTTGGATGACTAATGTTAAAAGAGCTAACCACACCAAGTGTCGACAAGGTGTAGGTCTAGAGTTCTCACACTCTGCTGGGAGGAATGTAAAATGGTCCCACCATTTTGGAAAAGTTTGGCAGTATCTTAAAAAGTTAAATATATAATTACGATATGATCAGCTATGCCACCTCTAGACCCTCTAGACTATGTACCCAAGAAGAATAAAAGAATGTCCATACAAAAACTTGTATGTGAATGTTCATAGCAGCTTTATTTGTAATGGGCAGAAACTAGAAACAACCCAAATGACCATCTGCAAGTGAATAAACAGATTAATGTAATGGAATACTACACAGCAATAAAAAGAAGTGAAATAATAATGTATATACCATATGTAAATCTCAAAATAATTATGCTGAGTGAAAAAAGACAAAATAAGAGTGCATGCCATATGGTTGCATTTATATAAAATTCTGGAAAATATAAACTAAATCTGTAGTGACAGAAAACAGATCCAGTGGTTACAACTTTCGGGGATGATGCGTAAGTTCATTATCTTGACCGTAGTGATGCATGGGTGTGTACATATGTCAACACTTTAAATATATGCAGTTTTTTGTAAGTTAGTGATACTTATGATAAAGCTGTTTTTAAGAACTTAATATTATATTTAAATTTAGTGTTCTTGAAGCTTTTTGTTTTTTAAATTTCAGGGAGGAGATCCTTCAGCAATCTTTGTGGGAAAGAGTGTCAACTCATGTGATTGAAAACATCTATCTTCCAGCTGCACAGACCATGAATTCGGGGACTTTTAACACCACCGTGGATATCAAGCTCAAACAGTGGACTGATAAACAGCTTCCTAATAAAGCAGTAGAGGTTAGGATATAATTTAATTAAATGGGTAAGAAGCATTATCTGAAGGGAGTAGGAGCTGTGAAGTTTAGATTGTATTCCCATCACAGCCACTATCTTTCTTTTTATCTATATACTCCATTTATTCTTCATTCCTCATCTTTGTGTTGGGATTATAAAGCATATAATGTATATATTAATAATAAGCAAAGTTTAATACTGCTACCAGTTACTACTGTTATAAAACTTGACTAAATGTTATAAAACTTTGTTATGGTGTTGGTGTAAGGATGTTGTTTCTCTTCCAAAGGTAACATTTAACAAAATGACCAAAATTTGCTTAAATGTGAAATATTTTAACTTATTCTGTGGATAAAGATTCCATAAGGACATGTTTAATGGATTAAATATTTCATATATTGATTTTCTGCAAGGCTCACTTATACTTAATAATTTACTTGTGTCTTGCCAGAAGGTTAGACTAAAAATTATAAGAAAGTGCATTAAAAAAATGCATTTCTGTTACTCGTGTGTCTTGGCCCTGCCACTGAGTAGTGGTATGATCCTTGGGCTGGTTGCTTAAGGTTTCTGTTTCCTTGTCTACAAAATAAGGGTGATAATGTCGCCTACCTCATAGATTGTTATAAGGAGAAAATGAGTTAATGTATGTGAAATACATAGACAATACCTGGCCCGTAGTGATTGTTCAGTAAATGCAGCTGCTGTTACAATGACGATGATGATGACCATCATCCAGATTGATCAGCCATGCATGTTACTCTGAAGAACGATTGTTCTAACAGTCGGTGTGTCCAGCACTTCTGTGTGAGGATGTGCACAAAATTAGAATCAGTGTTAAAAATAATTTTGTTTTTCACACCTTAGAAACAAAATGTTTCTGATTAGGTGTTTCATACCTTTCCTATCCCTTTTCAGTCCTAGCTTCTTCACCTCTGACCTCAATTTCCTTAAGCCTCCCTACAAGAGAACTCTGGTAGTCATACCACCTAAGCTGCGTGTTGCTGACCCCTGGTCAGTTCTCCACACATTCACCCCTACAGTAGTTAGAGCTGCTGCTACTGCTTCACCAGCTCTCCTCGCTACTGATCAACCCTAACATTTTGGGGCCCTGTCTCATGACAGGATATTTTTATATGCTACGGTTCAAGCAGTGGAAGCAGTCGTAGAAATGGCAGTGGTTCTGTCTCCTGCTGCTTTGCACCTTCACACCTAGTAGTGGTACAAAAATACAGATCCGCTGAAGGTCTAGAAACATCCATTTTAATACTCACTGTGTATTCTTGGACAGACACCTTCCTTTATACCATAATTTCTTCATATTTCAAATGAAGAAGGCTAAATATAAAATACCATTAACTGGTCTACTTTAACTTTAAGTATAGTTCTTAATTACTTTTGGCACTGCTCTTCCTCTCACTATTCATGTAATTAGGAGTTTGCTATAATACAAGGCTGAATAACACTCAGCTATGTTGGAGAGCATTGATACACTGCTTCACATGTTTGTACAAAGACAAAAATGTGAGGAAGACTAAATCATTAAGAAGTTTTATCCCTGGCTGGTGTGGCTCAGTAGATTGAGTGCTGGCCTGCAAACCAAAGGGTTGCCAGTTCGATTCCCAGTCAGGGCACATGCCTGGGTTCAGACCAGGTCCCCAGATGGGAGTGTGCAAGAGGCAGCCACACACTGATGTTTTACTCCCTCTCTTTCTTTTTCCCTTCCCCTCTGTCTAAAAATAAATAAATAAAATCTAAAAAAAGACAAAAGAAATTTTAAACTTTGTACAGTGTGGAAGAGGCAAGCAAACTCAGGCGTTGTAGAAAATGAAATAAGTGAATTAAGCCTGGTAGCTGGCTAGAGTGTACGCCCTGTCTGAAGGAGCAGCTCCCATTCAGCTTTGGCAGGTGGTGGTGTCAGGGAATGTGAGTATAGTGTTGCCAGATAGCTCCAGAAAGGCCGGAAATGTAGATTTGTATGTGAAGTCTCTCAATTTTTAAATACTGGGTACTAATTTTAAAAAATTTTAAACACTCTGTATGTCTAGCACCACATGTCAGGAATTCAAATCTGTCCCACCAGATACCAGGGTAAGATCACTAAGCTAGAGTTTATATTTGCTGACTTTAAAATGTGGGCTCACGTGTATTTTCTGATAAGCTGATTTATCGCATCTTTTTGACCTAAAGTCATCTGTTAATTTTTCATGTTACACATTAAATGAAAGTATGTAATATAAATTTTTTGTTTTAAATAATTCTAGGTTGCTTGGGAGACACTACAAGAAGAATTTTCCCGCTTCATGACAGAACCAAAAGGAAAAGAGCATGACGACATATTTGATAAACTGAAAGAGGCTGTTAAGGAAGAAAGTATTAAACGCCACAAGTGGAATGATTTTGCAGAGGACAGTTTGGTATGTCATTTGTATATTAGGGTGTCTGCCTCATACCGGTTTCTCAAATTGATATTTGTATAGGAGACTATTTTTACGTGACTGAGTTGGATTTCGAATTTAAAATAATGAAGGAAAGAAATAGATTTATGGTATGTAATCGACCCTTTGACATTTCTCTGCACTTCTATAATTGTCTTCTGTTATTTCTTTCCTGGCTGTCATTTCAGAAAAAAAAAGTCAAAACTTCTCAGTAAACAGGCTTCTGTAAACTTCAGCAAATTATTATCCATTAGCCTGAACTAATAGCTGCCTCTCATTTTACTCTCTGTGTCAATGAAAGGAATTAGATGTGTTGATTTGTAATGGATTTGAGACATGAGATGTTAGACTCCCAAAATCATAATGCTAACTACCGTGTGTTGAATGCATACAAAGTACCAGAAACTCTGCTGTGTATTTTGTAAGCATTATTCTAGTTCTTTTTTTTTTTCAGAACCTATTCCAATTTCATTTTATAACAGTATTGCAGAAAGCAAAATGCCATTTAATACAACTTAAAGCTGCTGTAAATCTAATCTGGCATAATTACTATACACAGGGTCAAAAGCAAAGGAAAAGATGTTCAATACAGTTAATAAATCCTTATCAGGCATTTGGTATCAGCTTTAAATGGTCTAGCTCTCTTACAACCATCAAAAAACCGCTCCTGCCTCTACCAACTCCTCTCCCCAGTGTCCTCAAACCTGTGGGAATTACCGAACTATCTGAACGAGACAGGCATGCTCAGTAACAGAAGGTCAGCTTTGCATGTAGTGTTCTACACAAATGCTCCAGCAATGGGAAGTAGTGAAATGTGGAAATGTAAAGAAAGAAAGCACTAAAGTTTTAAGCAGCCTGAGTATTTAGAAAGGAAGAAACAGTTTTCTCTTTCTCTGTGCTCCTGGTTCTGGAATGCTGCCAAAGAGCATGTGTCTGAGAAGTGCTAGCTCTGTGGGGCGACGGCGTCTCTCAACTCTGTGCGTGGTCAGCAGAATTCTTCCTGATGTCTAGTCTGTCGCTTTTGACTCTGTTCACAGTAAAAAGTCACAGAACTGGAAAGTCAGAAGGGTTCAATGTAAAAAGATATCCCCAATGAATTTCTCAAACATTAGAAAATTTTCAAGCTGTAAGAAATGTTTTTAATTTATATTAATTTTTTTTCATACAATTTATTTACTGCAATCTGAAAACTCTAAATATTTACTGTAATTCAATGGGAATTCAATGAGAAGCATCTGGGAGAAGGAAAGTCGTTACCTAAATTAGTCAGTTTCCTTTCCGCACAATAGCACCTGTTCAAGTAAACAGCACCTTATCAAATGAGCCAGAAAAAGCAGGTGGTTGTACACAAAGTAAACTGGAAACAAAACAGATCTCCCTAATTTAAAAAAGAAAGAACCAAGAATATGTAGAAGTGGTTATAAAACAAAATAATATATTAAAATGCAAAGGAACAGTGCAGGCGAGACCTGTTAAGGTAAGGTTTGGTGCTGGCATTTTAATCCTTCAGGCTTCTGGTCACTGTGACTGTTCGTAGTATAAATTTGCTGGAATAGTGGTATGGCATGAAGACCGAAGTGGTCAAAATTCTTCAGGCTCATGAAGTTGAATGTTGTTTAAAAAATGGATTTGTGCACTTGCTCTCCCTCCTGCAGTTCCGTTTCTTTGTGCTGCACCACTCTCGTGAACAGCAGGTGGGGCGCTGCCGTCTGGCTCCCCGACGGCCTGGGCCAGCGCCTGCTCATGATCAGCATCTGTATCTCCTGTGATCATGATGCGATTCTCAGTTCTGGTTTCAGATATCCCACCTTTCATAGTCTTGGTGATGTGTGTGGTTGTGGTTGTCAACACAGAATCCAATATGATGGTCTGTACCGTTATTAACATGTGTGAGATTAACATGTGTGAGATTAACATGTGTCAGATTAACATCTGTACCGTTATTAACAGCTGCCCCACCATCAATCTGTGGAGACTCCTGTGATGGCTTTGATGTCAGTTTGGACAATAGGGACTTCTTTGCTGGAGATTTCTGTCCTTTATGGGGCATCAGAAGTGTTTACCTTCTCTGTCTTTACCATGGGTGGCTCTGAACAAGAAATAATTTGAGGCAATACATCAATGTTAGCATGAGACATCTGTCCATTAACTTTGTGATACTTGTCCTCTGTGTCTTCGCTCACATCTTCCTTGATAGTGCCTTCGTGTACACTGTCCTCTGCAGAGGTCTTTGGGGCGGCCACATTTTCCTGGGTCACTGTTTCTACTGTGCTCACACCGGCACCTGCTCGTTTGCCTGGGCTGGCTCCTGACACTGGCTGCTCCCTCTCTACTGTCTTGGCTGCTCAGCCCCAGTTCTCCCTCCACCTCTTCTTCATACTCCTCCTATTCTTCCTCTTTGGTGCCCTCAGTCACACAGTGTTGGGGCTGTACACTCCCCCACCTTCCTCCTCGCCCTCACTGCCGCTTCTGCTTTCTGAAGACAGGGAGGTGGAGTCTTTGTGTCAGAGGCTCCACCTTACAGATCTCCTCAGGACCCACTCCCAGGTGATATCTCTTTGCTGTTCATTTCTTCCGTGACTATTTTCATCTTTCCCAACCCCTGCCTATTTCTTCTCCTCCTCTACATTCAGAGTCTCACGTGAGTTCTTTTCTTCAGTGAGTTGTACATGTGGGGCTTTAGTGGGGCTTCTGATGTCCCTTCTCCCATCCTCATTCTGTACCACGGCAATGCTGACAACTCCACAGCCAAGTGCTGAAACCCCCCAGCAGGGCCAGGAAAATCCTTCGTAGATAAGGCTTTGGTCCACAACACCAGTAGAGATCCATCCAGAATTCTGGAGACCTGCTTACTCAATTTGCCCTGGGCTGTCAATACAGATACTTGCCTGGTGGGTCTAGGCCTGGGTGCAGCCACTGTAGTGAAATTTAGACCCTAAGGTCAGGAATTTGGCCTTTGGTGGCTGGCTGCCGAAGACACAAGCCTGTAAAAAGTATGATATTTCACATACACTTTCCATAGCCTTTCCACAGCCGGTTCGGCAGTTTGAATCCAGCGGTGCTTTCAAACTGTTCCAGCTCTACTGGCCTAACTTTAATGTAAAAGTTACTACACTAACAGGAAATTTTCTGGATTTTCAGCCAAGCAAAATGATTGATTCTCAGTCTTTGTAAGTGAGGAGCCCATTAGCACACAGGCCCTGCTTAATGTTCACACCTTCTGAGTCCTTGGCACGATGTAGGTCAATTCCATACATGGAAAGCCTCTTTGCGTTTTCTATTACTGAGAATCAGCTTGTGCTGGAGATAAGCTTCTGTGCATTTTTTGCAGCTCTGCTGCCTTCTCTTCCAGCTCCTTCATCTGGGAGGGGGCAGAATGAAGTCACTGAGGTCATGATGGGCGTGCTCTTCCAGGTCATAGTCTCCAAGCAGCCTGTAGTGTGGAGATCCCGGGAGGGTGTCAGTCACAGAAGGGCAGGGCAGATGGACAGAGGCAGTGTCCTGCCGGAGCTGAAAGCGCAGGAAGTATCTGGCGATATCTTCAGCAGTTGTCTCGTTTGTCTTGCAGGATCTAGCCAGTTTTTCTGCTCATAGATTTCCTGAAACAAAAGTCCAGCGTAGTCCTCCAAGAGGAGGAGCACACACTTTTTCAAGTAACACTTACCCTTAGTGTATTTTCCAGGTCCCAACTGTACTGGAGGCCATCTAGGAGGGTCACTTTACAGTTCTGGTCTTTTTGATGGCTTTTTGAGCAGCCTTCTCTACTTTTAGCTTATTGGTCTACACTTTCTTTGTCTCCCTTTTTGCTGCTGCTTCTGATTTGTCTTCTTGTATCTTCTTTACCTTCTCCTCCTCTCTCTCCTTCCTTCCTTCTTCAGCGTGCCGTGCGTCAGTACTGCTCACTGAAGGTGTCTTTCCTCGACACCAACTTTAATGACCCGTTGTTTTCTCGAAGCTGTTTCTTCAGCATCACCCTTGGCCTGCCCCTCTTCTTCAGGAAGATTCCTCTGTATCTAAAACCTGTTCTTCCACAAGCTTGGGTAGGCTTTTTTTTATCTCCTCCATCTCTGGCCACTACTAAATTATAGGACTTTTGTTTCTTAAGTTACAGGTTATGAATCGAGAAATGCTTCTACTCTCAGACAGACTCTTCCACCTCCTCAGGCGGTGTGGACTACATGGGCTTTTAGCTGGAGGAGGTGATTGGGAATCCTTTTCCTCTTCTGGATCACATGACTGATTCTGCTGATTTTCTCCTTGGTTGTATCTGCTCCCAGCTGGTCAGATTCCTTGTTCTCTTCAGAGGCAGAGCCTACATCAGAAGTCATGGCCACAGCTAATGCCATGGCCAGTTTGTGGTTGCTGTTTTGCCTCACAGTTGTTTTCTAGCCACGAGCTACTACTAGCTGTTCGAACCTTCTGGCAGCAACACAGGAAACTACCCTTGTCACCCATTATCCCACAAAAATATAGTCAATTTCTAGGCCTGTTTAGTTCTTAAGCATACTGTATATTGTTGTTGTTGGCATAGCTGGGATATAAGCCCCATTTGGTTTAATTATAAAACCTGACTCCAAACCTCCACCACCTGATAAAATCTTTTGTTACATTTGACATTCTCATCACCATAATCAAACCTTATTAGGCACCTGCTCTGCTCAGACAGTTGAGAGGCACTGTTGAATGATAAGATGAAGCAGTTTTTTAGGAAAATGCAAAGCTGATTGTGGACTGGTTATAATCATAATTTTTTAGAAGAAATAGTTGTTTTCATATTTATTCTTATTAGCACCCTTATCAAGATTGGCTTTGGGAGAGAATAGTGCCATATTCACTCATTCATTCACTAACCACAAAATTTGGAAACTAATTTTCTTACAATAAATAGCATTTACTTAAGAGTGCTTTGACCTTATAAGCTTTCCTCCATTACATTTTCCATTGCTGTTACCAATAAGATAAAGGTTATTATTTTTCCCCTTTTTGTTTTTTTTTTAAATGCTAACATATAAGTCATATGACCAAAAGGAGAGGTAGAGATGGACTGAACTGCTAACTCCTGAACACTAGGGTTTTCTAGGTGAGGATTTTATGTAGTTAAAGGTGTAATATGACCCCCTCTCCCCCAGTGATCTTAAAGATCGTCAGCTCATTTAATTTGGGCAGGAAAAAAGTCTCCGTTTGTTTTTTAGACAGGAAGCTGACAAATAGATAATAGGACCTTCTGTGTTTATGTGGAAGGAACATACTTTCATGTTGTTTTAGGTACATCTGTTATTTTGGATATTTGCTTAGCTGTCAATTTGAATAAAATTACTAAACAATAAGACACAGATCAAATTAACTGTTTTTCTTTCCATGTTATTTCAGAGAGTCATTCAGCACAATGCTCTAGAAGACCGGTCCATCTCTGACAAGCAGCAGTGGGATGCAGCTATTTACTTCATGGAAGAGGCCCTGCAGGCTCGTCTCAAGGATAGTAAGTGGGGACATGGGCTGCTGAGTTCTGAGTATTCCCAGTGACGAAGGAATCACCCAACTTCAAAGAACATTTGTTTAAAAAATTAGTATTTCAAGGTCTTTGTTATTAATACTGCAGTTGAATATTATCTGTGGGATTTTTTTGGTCGACTGCTTAGTAACTAAAATATTCAATAAATTAGAAACATGTTTATAAGTGCCGATTATCTAAAAAGCTATATTCAAACTATTTTAGTGTTTTCTATTATACTTATGAGAACTTTACAAGCAATTGTGTTTTTCATAGGTTGTAAACATATAATTAAATTTTTTCTGATATATTCACCCTATCAATCATATAATTTTTCTTCATTTTAACTGACTTTAGATTGATATATCACCTTAAAGTAGTTAAGAAAGCCAGAATATTATGTTATAATGCATGTACTTGGTAAATGATAAAATTCATTATGAATTTTTTTAAAAGAATTTTTTTAAATTTTTAGCTGAAAATGCAATTGAAAACATGGTAGGTCCAGATTGGAAAAAGAGATGGTTATACTGGAAGAATCGGACCCAAGAACAGGTAAAAACAAATCTCTGTTCTTATGATGATAAAATTTTATTCATTTTAATTCAAGCAGTAAAATATAACCTTTGCACGTCTCTAGAGCAGTCTTAATAATTTCAAATGTTTGTGTCAGCCTTTCTTAGATATAAAATCTTTAAAATAAACAGTAAACTGTTTACCTTATACATGAAAGATATTTTATAAGTGAAGTAGCTTGCTATTGAAAGAAAGGGGAGATGAAAAATGCCCCTTTTGTGATCACTTTGTTCATTTCAATTTCCTATTTATGATAAATTGAAGATTAAAGTTATGAAAAAAGAAAAAGAATAACAAGGATTTCAGAGGATGTAGAATAAATATGGTTAGAATAAAAATAGAATTTTTTTAACTTTATTTTATCATCTTTGGATTTTTTTGTGAGTTGTCCATTTATGTTCTTTTACACTTTTTGTTCTTGTGTTCACAAAATAAGTATAAAATTTCAGACAGGAACTAGAATTTTGGAATTCACTTATTTACATTTAATGAGCACTTCAGAAGAACAAAATGGTGTAAATAACTTTACAAATGCATAAAAGAAGTAAAATGTGTAAATTATTGAAGTCCCTATCCTCCACTCTTTTTATTCCTATTGTTGTGGCTTTTTTTTCTATCTAGCATTCAGTCTTACACCACTGTCTCATTCTTGTTTGTTCCTTAAGTAAAAGAGTGTAGACAGAATACAGAGCGAGAATGCATAAAGGCCGGAGGTGATGAGTGAGAAGAAGAGGTGCATCCGACCCACTCTGCTGTTTCTGAGTCCATGTGATTGGAGAGGGAGATAGAGATATGGAAATAATGAAAGAGGAGCTAAAGAGAATGAAATATTACAAAATTACACATTATTCCTATTTTCTTATTTATTTTATTTTTATTTTAAATAGAGTCAGTTTAATTTTACGATCAACACCTATTTTTTTCTAGTTTCTTTTGTTTCTTGTTTTATAAGCTATCAGATGAGTCCCAATTTGTCTTAAAATAGTGAAGGGACAGTATCCTCTTCTTTTTTTCTGAAATGATTTTTGTGGAAAGAAAGAGTCTTTAGGAGACTGAGAGAAGCTGGAGAAGCAGACCGAGGTAATGATGGGCTATGCCTGTGTTCATTCCGGGTGCGTCAGCTATCCCTGCTGTACGTACACACAGACTGAGAGCAGGCGGTCTGCCAGAAGAAACCTCCAGGGGACCCATCAGAGGTTTCTGACTTTGAGACAGAAGGAGGCATTAGTTGGAATAAAAGCAGTGTACAGCAAATAAACACTGAAGAAAAATGATGTCTGACCTTCAAGTCCTAATGCAATAGGCTTAGAGTCTCCAGACAATTAATGAGGGCAAAACTTGCCTCAGTGACTTGTGGTAAATATGCTTTTGCCAAACACTCTAAGACAGAAATGATTCCTGGTTGTAAGTTATTTTTCTCAGGAACTTAAACCCATAGGGGTCCCTTCAAGAGAAGCAGAAGAATTCGTTTTAAGGCCATACGCATATCTGCATCCTAGAAGAGGAATAAGGAAACCCTTTAGAGAATAGCATTCACCTCCCTGGGTTTCAGGGCAGGGCATATGTAAGACTCAGGATCACTTTAGAACACAGGCCTTAATTTGGATCATAGAGGGGGTAAATCGAATCACCTGGGAGGTGTTTGTGTATGTTTGTTTAATTCTCTCAAAACAAAGCCTACTGTCAGACTCCTGTGGAGTTCTTCGTGGCTCTCTAACCTTGCTAACCCTCCCACTCCCAGTTGAAAACCACTGTTCTAGACCTCATACCTGGAAATTACAGTAAGGAACAGATTCTAGAGGAGGTTGGGAATGTCTTTGGGTCTCACTTTGCAAGTTTAAGGCAGCCATCCACAATTCTTTCTATCCTTTTGAGTGATCAGATTTAGCGGGGAAAGAAACTTAAGATTGTTCTGTGTTAAACATGATAAATCCATACTCTGAAACTGTTTTGTGCTTTTGTGGCATTACTTTTTCCTTAGTTTTCTAGGAAAAGTCTATCTCTGAAAATTCTCACCTTGTCTGACCTGGTCTAATGCAGATCTCGGTCAGGATAGATGGGAGAGGAGTGCCGCCCTGCAGACCGAGTGGGGTGGGGCAGGTGCACGGGTGGGAGTGAAAACAGGATCAGAAGGGCTGGGGAATGTCCTCTCTGGAGATTTCCTTCCTACCTCAGACCAAATAGCGGATATTTAAGGCAACAGTGAAATTTCTCTTTATTAAATAATATTTCTTTCTAAAGTGTCATGTTTTCAGAGAATATTAATTAGTTTTGTTTATACACCAGTTATTTGTGTTTAAGTGTTATTTTTATATAAATGCTCAGATTCCGTAGGCTGGTATAGTTTAGGCTAAGTGCTGGTAACTTGCTCAATCAGTGAATTTGAAGCTCTTTTAACCATACAATTTTAAAAGAAGTATTGGAAAATGAAAAGATACACTTGACACTGTATAAAAGTCTTATTTCCAGACCTATCACTAGTGTATATATATTTTCCTCCTTTGGTGAAGAGATGATGAACAATTACAGAGAAGAGACTGAAAGTGAATTTAAGAATAATAGGCACCTTACAGAAGCAATCTAAACCATGATTTTTAATGAAAAGACTTTTTAAAAATCCCACTATGAATTTTATATTTAATTTATTTGAAAAGAAACTTGCCAATAGGTACTCCGAGGCTCATAGTCATCTAGTTCTTAGATATAAGGCATTTATACAACACTGTCTCTTCTCATGTACTCGGGGTCCTGTTTCCCAGATTAAAATCACACTCTAAGGTCAAGAATGAAAGTCTACAGTAAGATGGCTGGTTACTGTACCTTCAAGAGTAAAATATTTTAGAAAAGTAAAATACAGGAAATAGGGCTAAATCAACATTACTTTGCTTTGCCTTGCTTCTCTGTCCTTCCTTTCCAATCCCACGCTGCCCTGCACTCACACAAGCCAGAGCCATGTCCTTTCTTGTGTGTGTCGATTGAGCTTGTGTCCCCTATTGTGCAACAACAGTGTGTTCATTACAGTTGGGACTGTGTTTTTATAAGTGTGCCAGATCATGAACCAAGTAAACACCATCTCCTTTTGAATATTTTAAAGTGTGTTCACAATGAAACCAAGAATGAACTGGAGAAGATGTTGAAATGTAATGAGGAGCACCCAGCTTATCTCGCAAGTGATGAGATAACTACAGTCCGAAAAAACCTCGAATCCCGAGGAGTAACAGTAGATCCAAGCCTGGTAATGAATGTGCCAAAAAGCGTGAACTTGCTTCCTTAATCTCTGTTTCTTGTTGGACAATGCCTTCGGATTCTCTTTTTCCTCACATACAAAAAAATATGAGAATAAAAATAATTACACCATGGACTACTTTTTGCTTACCTTCATGATGCTTATTTGGGGAAAAATTAAAGAAAAAACTGTTTCTGGGCCTGTGTTTCCTAGTTAGGGTGTAAGTGATCAAAACCTCATTTTAATATTAGCTTAAGTGAAACCCAACAAGAAAAGTAATTATAGTGAGGGAAACAGTCATAAAAGAAATTTCAGAGCCACATATAATTCTTTTAAAGATTACCTTCTATTTATGTTTTCTTATTTGAGAAATGAGTATACTTATTTTAAATTCCACCACAGGACAGAACAAGAAAAGAAACCTGAAATTCAAAATAGTTAAATCTGTTATACATATAGCTTTAATTTATAAATTGAAATGAAATTAAGACTAATGATTATGTGAAATTATTAGTTGACTGTATGTAGATTTAATTTATCCCCATTACCCTAGCTCTCATTAACAGTAAGTTATATTAGTTTGATACTTTTAAATTTTATGTGGCTATAGGTGTTGATACTTTGGTTAATACAGTATGAGGGGCTTTGTCCACATTTCTGATATGAATTGGCTGCATGTCTTAATTACTTTCTGTGAGCAAGAAAATCTCAGGTTTTTTCTAAAAGACACTTTGCTCAGTGCACTTTATAAAGCTATAAAATAGGCAGCAAAGTACTGTGACAAGAATAGTGGATGGACTAGATGTCAGGAGATTTGAATTCTAGAATAGTTTCATTTTGTTTGCTAGTAATATTCCCTGTAATAATTGATATAATCTCTCTGAGCCCGACTTTTTTCATTGTCATATGGTGTTGATGATACTTGTTGTTATTGTTGTTATGCTTTAAAAAAGACAGTGGTGTGAAGGAACCTTGAACACTCCAAAGAGGATATAGCAGTAACATGGAGTGGGTCATACTGATGTAGGAACTGAAATGTAGTGACCAGAAAGGAAGTGTTTTGGGTGGGTTGATGGGCATGCCCAAGACCAACATCCTAGTCCTACTCTGTCCAAGGCTTACAACCTCTTTTTGCCTTGGAATCTTTACCTCGAATTGGGGGAAGATAATCCCTACCTTGTCTGCTCTGGAAGACACTAATCTGAATGTGTCAGCAGGGTTTGTTAAAAGCACTGTAGATGTTGAAGTACATAAACTGGTGGGAGTAGTAGTAAATCTAAATCTAATCTTTGTCTTGAAAAAAAATTCATGCATAAAAAAGATTGGTAGAATAACAACTTTGCCATTGGTTTTAATTAACTTTTTTGTAAATATGCTTGTATATGACTTTTCAGAATGTGTTGGATTAACCTGAAGAATGTATAATAACTCCGGTGTTTGTTTTGTTCTGTTCATTTTAGATTAAGGACACTTGGCACCAAGTTTACAGAAGACATTTCTTAAAAACAGCTCTAAACCACTGTAACCTTTGTCGAAGAGGCTTTTATTACTACCAAAGGCATTTTGTAGATTCTGAGGTGAGGTTTCTAAAAAACAAGTAGAAATGTTTCTTAGCAATAGTTTTTTAAATGCTTAAACATAAACTTAGGCTTTAGCATTATTTTTAAGTCCTTTGATCTTCTGGAAAAAATGTGTGATATATAAAGAATACCCTAACCCATATATTTTCAAAGATATTTGCCACTTTGGTAGGACCTGCATCTTACAGGCACATCATCCCAGTGCCTCTAAGATTGTGTGTGCATACAATAGGCACTAAACCACTTTAAAAAAATTTGTATGTTAGAAAATAATACATTCCCATTGTACAAAATTAATGCAATAAATAAATGTAAAAAAACATGCAAAAGGAAATAGTCCTCTATAATCCTTGACCTAGAAGTATTTCAATTAAAATTTTTGTATATTTTTGTTTAACTTTTGTATGTGTATAACATAATCATACATTTGCATAATGGAAATTATACTGAAAACAGTTTTTTATTGTGCTAGTTTCCTATTATTATATTGTAATTTTAATTGTTTCTTTATATCACTAAAGTCTTGTTTTAAATAATTCTTTTAAGAACTCGAAAGTTCTTGGACAGTTGTAGTTTAATGCTACATTTTACAAAATAACCTCTAGGTGGCAGGAGATGATGTATTTTTGAGCACTTTCTTAAAAGCAGAAATATTTCTTAATGTATCCTTCTGAAGGAGCTCTATCAATCTGTGATCTTATGTGAGACCCCTACCGTGCTTTCCTTGTGAGTTTTCAGCAGCTTAAAATAAATTTACATTTAAATGTACCTATGTAAAAAGTGGCAAAATTTTTTGCATTATTTTAATTGTTGAGAAGACCTCTTACAGAAAAGCTTCTTTTTAAAAAAATATCATTAATTTATTTTCATATACAACTGAATTTCAAAAGTTTCTTTAGTATATACTCAAAGATAAGAGGTTAACCTAAGAACAATTTTTAACATGATTGTGAGTTGAAACTAAATACAAATTAAGGGTTATATAATATGCTATGGATTTCTACTTGTATATAACATAATGAAATGCCTTACTTCTCAAGTCTGTTTGCTTTGTTACTGGAATCAAAGCAAAATTACTTAGGTGTGGGGTAGATAGAATCCAAATCATGAAGAATTTGATGGATCCTGTACAGAAAAGATTCAGTAGCTTATATCTACAATAGGAATATGAGTAGATATGTTGGGTAAATCTGAATATTTTTATTTAAAGCTCAGGCTGTAGTTACTCACTGTAGTAGTTATTGTGTTTATGATCAAATTTATGTTTACATTTGCATTTGGTAATTTTAAGTACCTAATATTGCAGTTGGAATGCAATGATGTTGTCCTATTTTGGCGAATACAGCGCATGCTTGCAATCACCGCAAATACTTTAAGGCAACAACTTACAAACACTGAAGGTAAGCCACAGAGGGACTATTTTCTAACTTTGACATTAAAAATAATAGTAATAACATCCATAGTTAAAAATATTCCGAAATACTTCCTTTACAGTAGTTTCATTCAAAAAACTGGAAGTTACTATTTGCCCCTAAAATATTAATGCAAATAAATCATAATTGAAAAGGATGGGAGTTAAAACATACCAGGAATCTCTCTTTATTACACAAAAACTCTGTTAGAAAAGGACCACTAAGCATCACTTGGTTTTTTGAGAAATCTGTGCTTCTGTTAAAGTGTTAGGTCTGGAACATATGACTTTCTCTGAGATATGTATTTAGTTTTATGTTGTTAAAAGTGCTGTATAATAGGTAAATATTCTCCATATAACTGTGAGAAGTCTGAACCTAATAGATTTAATGCGATGAGAAAAATAAGAACTTACTCTTCATATATTGTTAATTTCACATCCTTGGGCATTCCTAAAAGTGGTGCTCCTCGGCATTTTTATTTACTTTAAACAGTCAGACGATTAGAGAAAAACGTTAAAGAAGTGTTGGAAGATTTTGCTGAAGACAGCGAGAAGAAGGTGAAGCTGCTCACTGGTAAACGGGTTCAGCTGGCTGAAGACCTCAGTGAGTAGCTTTCCTGCCTTTCACCTCACTGCCTTTTCCCCGTGCCCGTTTCTGTTTGTTTGTTGACCCATTGAATCTCAAACTCACAGAAAAGTGTGTACAGTGAACTCTGTTCCCTGGACTATTTGAGGGAAAGATGCTAACTTGAAACCCCATTGCTTCCAAGTACTTTAATGTATGTTTCTTAGAAACGGGTTTTCTGGCAACTATAATGCAGCCATTAAAATCAGGATGTTAACACGGACACATTACTGCATCTAATTTCACACCCCATTCAAGTTTCCCCTGTTGTCCTAACATTTTCCTTTCATGTAACAAGATGTTCCATGCTCATTCTGTACTTCCCTGATCCAGCTTTTTAATTTTTTTTTTATTTTATTTTCTTGAGAATGGTATTAGAAGTCAAGGCTGGGAACTAGACATGCTCATTGTTGCTGGAATATCACTGTTCCCAGACCCCCTCAGTGGAAAGAGCTGGGGAACAGTGTTATGTGTGTGCGTGTGCACGGGGAGAGACACATACACACGTTTGCATCTATATTCCTAGCCGTATGTATGTGTCTATATTGAAAACCGTAAGCTGATACTGATGTTCACCATTTTAATGCAGTAATACAGGGTTTGTTCTACTTTTCTCCTTTTCCATACTTGTAACTCCCTTTTTCTGACAAGAAATCTGGCTTCAGGTAACATTAATATCTTTACTTATTTTTATCAGTCCCTCTGTATGAACTCAAACTGGCCACTCTCCCCTTCACTGAATAAATGTCCTTTTTCCCCAGCTCCAGCTCTCATCACTGACCCCAGGCCACTACCGTGTTGGTGCCTTTTTTACCTCATCTAGGCTCCAACATCTCAGGTCACGTCGCCCTTCTTTGTAGAGGCCTTTTTACTGAGCCCATGCTCTGACCCTCTGTGCTGACATCTCCCCTGCGCCCTACACCAGGACTCCCTCCCTCCTGAAGCCAAACTGTGTTTTCGTGGAGACACCCTCTTCATCCTTCTTCTGCTCTAACACCCTGCACCAGACCACCTTCCTAAACAGATGCTCCCCTCACCCCTTGGCCAGGCCGCCAGCAGCCCGGTGTGAACACCCCCTTACACTGGGCCAGGCTTCCCCCCTGCACTGGGCTTCTGTACTGCACTAGGCGGCTTTCCCTTCCCAGCACCGTCCTCTACCCCAACTCCAGCTGGACCTTACTAATTGCTTTGTCACTTTGTTTTGGGTGGGGGACATTTATTTCCTGATGCCAGTAGGTTCCTAGCTTTAAGATGTTTTAATTGGTTATTAAGATTTCCTTAGATCTTTAAGAACCCAAGGAAGTCAGTGAAAGACTAATTCTATTAAATAAAAATAAAATTACTGGGGGTTGGTACATCTTTTGAACTTAACTTGTTACAAGTTTCCCTTATTTCAGCTTCCTGAAACAAAGTACTTTTTCTTTCAATGTATATTTAAATTTATTATCTAATGAGTTTTCTGATATCTAAAAGAAAGCATATGGTGAATAGAAAGTTCTTCACCCTGGGTGGGTAGCTCAGTTGGTTGGAGAGTTGTCCCAATATACCAAGCCCGCGGTTCGATCCCCAGTCAGGGCACATGCAAGAAGCAGCCAGTGAGCGCATGAGTAAGTGGAACAACAAATCATTGTTTCTCTCCACCCCTCCTTCTCTCTCTAAAAAAAATCAGTAAGTTAAGAGAAAAACAAAGTTCTTCAAATTTGAAAACCGTTTCTAAGCTGAATGTGTGTCACTACAATACAATCCCTAGAGTCGCTAACAGAAAGCAGGCAGCTTTCCTATTTCAGACCCTGTGCCCAAGCAGAGTGCTGTCTTTCACAGTTTCTCTCTTCCTCCTCTCTCCATTTCTAAGTTATCTGAGCTCTTCATTTCTGTCTTTTCCTTTACTTTCTTTAAGTAATCTTTTTTTGAAACATATCCCATTTTAACTTTTATTTCCATTTTCTGTTGCCTTTCTTTTGTTTTGTTTTGTTTTTTATGCCACTTTGGCAACCTATTAAAGTTTGTGCTAACTTATAGAAGATCTGTGTTTCACTCAGAATTGCCATTTGTTAGCTGTGTTATATCAGGCAGGGTTTCTCCCAGAGCCTTAGCTGCTTTGTGAAAATGACTACTTCCATAGCTGTTGCACAGGATCATTAGGAGCATTAGTTCAAAAACATTTGGAAGCCCCTGGTCCATAATTTTGTGCTGATTTATGCTGTTCCAGGAAGAAGGGTGTCCGTGTCACAAAGTACACGAATATATTTGTGTTCCCCAGGACATCATTATCAGGCAGTGACATACCTCAGTGTATTTGACCAGTGTACACATTTTTAAGAGATTTTAAAAAAATGATGTGTCCTTTCTCATGTTTTATAATACAGCCTTTTGTGTAACCTTATCACTTTCCATTCTCAATTTGATTCTTAATTTAAAGAAAGTATATTACTAACGCAAATCTGTGCACTGTCAAGCCAGGTCATCTGTTCTGCTGGTTTTGCTAAGAAACTCATGACTCCCTTGAAGTGATTTACCACTCTGTATGTATAAAATTGTGGTCATGTTAACGTACCACATAATGTCCTGGGAAGCAGGTGTTTCCCCAGTGACTCACTTCACCAGTCACACGAAGGGAGGTGAGCCATGACATTGTCCACGGGTTGAGAAAGAGTCTTGTGTATCTTTCCTTATTGTTTATCTTCAGTCTGACACTTGGGAATATGGTCGTGGATACTTTCAACAAGAAAACTTTTAAAATTGAACAGTTACTACTGTGTTACAGGGATCAAAGTGTCTTGTGTAAGTATTCAGTTAAAATAAAGTGTATTCATTGACAGAATTTAGAGCAGGGAGGCAATCAAGAGAGGTTTTACTATAATTTTAAAATTGTATAGGGTAGAATATTATAGAGATTTGTGAAGTTTGATGATACCACACTTACTGCACTTTACTTTAGAGATTCACCAACTGATTGTCCTTTAAGATAAGTGCATAAGAGGTTGTTTGGTCGTTTCTCATATCCTGGAGAAGATAGATCATGTTCACTAGTGAAATGAAACCACGAAGCCTGGGTTAGGGAGGTCAAAAAAATGAGAGGCAGGACCACGTCTTCTAGTTTTGGGAGGCTCACAGAAGTCATACTTGGGAACTAGGACTCTTCGGAGATGTGGTAGATTCTAGAGCTGGAGCTGGGAAAGGCAGGATGAACCTGGGGCATCTTAAGATGTGGAAAATAGGAAGTACTTGAAGAATGGTGGGGACATGTCAACAGGATACAGAGGCTCCAGCTGGCCAAGAGTAGGACAATTTGGACATGGAAATAAATAATGACAGTTATAAATTGTAACCCACGGAATAAAACATCCAAAATTAATAATTGTATAAGTAAATGAATAAAATACGTGATGGGGAATGGGATGTTTGTAAAATTACACAGAATATCACTGCATGAACTAATTGAAAAGTGGAGAAGTAATTTGAGAGTGGATCAGCCTGGCAGTACTCCCTGGTCAAGTGGTCCAAGTTAGTATTGTCAGTAGCGGTCAGATCAGATCTGCGTGGCGCCTTCGGAATGCAGTGAGAAGAACCCAGCATCATGTTCTTACCAACAATGTATAACTTAAGTCTAATTATAAAAATACAGCAGGCAAACCCAAAGTAAGGCATGGTCCACAAAATAACTAGCCTGTAGTCTTCAGATAGACCAAGATCGTCAGAGGCAAGGGAAGCCGGAGGAACTATTCCAGGTTGAGAGAGACTAAAGATGTGCAGTGTGTGACCCTGCACTGGACCTTCTGGCTCTAAGGACATTAATGGTCCAGTTGGTAAAACTCGAAAAGGATCTGAGGGTTACATGGTAGTAGTACCCCAATGTTAATTTTTGAACTTTAATTACTTGTAGCTAATACACCATAGAATATTTGGGGCTTTGAGAGAATAATGGCAATAAATTATTCAGGAAATATGTTCTTCATAGTGTTCTGACAGCTTTTCTCTAAGTCTGAGATTATTTATATAAAAGGGAAAAAGAGGTTCAGTTTTGTTTTTATAACTGATAATGGATCGGGCTCATATGAAGATAATTGAGAATAAAATGAGACTTCTGAAAACCAGGTCTCTGAAGATGTCAAAAGACCATTACCTCATGGACAATTGAGCAAGCTGTGTAGCGCACCTTCCCCCCTTAATTTCTTCTGTGCAGAGTCTCGCCACCCTTGGACCTGTCCGGTGTGCGTGTTTGCCTGCTATGAGCTTGGTGGGGTTGTCTTGGTTTTGTAGTGAAGTTTATTTCAAAGGATGTTAATAGATATTTAAATACACTGTTAGATAAAATTTATTTGGATTCCCAGCAGAATTTTTAATAATGCTCCCTACCTATTTATTCAAATAGACTGCAGTTTTTAAATGCTTTCTTTGGAGAGTAGAAGATTGGTATATTGTAGCTTAAATCAAAGTTTTTCTATTATGATCTGTTTTATGATTTATGAAGTTTATGTTATGATTGTCATCATATAGAATAAGTGATAGTGCTATCATTTCACAGACTTTCTTAAAGAATTTTGTTCTCCATTCCACCCCAGCACTGGTAACAATTGCTGGTAATACTGCTAAACTGAGCTTCATCAGCACTGCCTAGAATTCTCTTACTGTTTGCTCTGAATATTGTATCAACTGTTAACTAGGTTATTGTGAGTGTTTGGCCCTTAAATCAATTGCCTAGGATTCAGAGCTTAGGTTTCTTTTAAAACTCTAGTTCACCAAAGCTCAAGTTAAACTTTTCATTCTCTGTGTACATAGTCAAAGAATCATTGATACCCAGGAATTAAAAGGGCATTACCAATCATTTAGTTCTCTCTTTCTAAAAACTACAGGGTCTTTCTTGTTTTACAATAGATTCCTTCTCACTTTTGTATCAGAACTTGAAGCTGTTTATGAATGCATATTTGAGTACTTTTCTCTCCCAGATAATTAGGTTATGGGCTTTACATGCATTCTCATAGGTACAGTCATTTTTTTTTCATGTTTATAGATCAAGAAATGGAGGCTTAGAAACACATAGATAATAAGTGGTAAAGTCGGGATTTGAGCCCAGGTCTTTTAATTACTGTGCCAAACTAATTTAAAAAGAAAACCTCAAACTATTGGACAATATAATTACATAAAATGGTTCTTTATATTTAGAAGCTTTCATAGTTAACCATGCCCTTTACAGGGCACATCAGAAAGACATACATATTAGTGATGATGATCATCATCTCTGCATTTCCTGTACTATATAAAGCTTTGCAGTTTAAACTGTCAAAGGATTATGAAAGATTTGATAGAATTAGAACATCTAGGTAGGAGAATACTAACATGTGAGTGAAGCTCCTGAACAGATTGAAGAATGTTAATTTTCTTTATATGACTTGTAATCACATCTCAAGTATAGTCTGTTGAGCGCCACCATAGTTAAGAAGTATCTGAGTGCCCCAAACTCAGACACGGCTTCAGTGTGACGTGTCCAGGCTTAGAGCCGTCAGATTCAGCTGTAACAGATACAGAATTGTTTCTGAGCAGTCGAGGCTTTTTGTTGAGCTAGTCTATGAGGGTTGAAATGTTTCATAGTAAGCTTCAATGTATTCATTTTTCTTGTACTTCACAGAAGATATGTTTCAGTCAAAACTGAATACTTCATATCTGCATCTCATTTACCAATGAAATGTGAAAACAGTGGTGAACTCCTTTCCTTGGGCTGCCATAGCACAGGCGTGTTTTAATGCTGTAACGTGATATCCTTAATGTTAAAACCAGTGTAGCTTAAAGAGGCCGATAAATTAGAATTTTCCAATATCCGCGGCTTTTTACTCTGGCAGTTAATTTGCTCTGCTGACGCCCTACGCGAGGTGGCAACAGCTGGCCTTTTTAGTAGAGCTGGGGGATTAGAGAGTAGGAATCACAGCAGCGTGCTCGGCCTCTTGCCTCTGTTGACTGTTCTTTATTGTTTGATGCCTGAGCATCTCCCAGACAGCAAGCAATTGTTTCTTGAAACTTAAAGTTTGTTTCTCTTGGGAGTGTACAATGCTGGTGGGGCTCGTCTTTGTGTCTCTTCACTTTCCCAGTCTCCTCTTATCCTCCACCCTGTGCTTTCTCTTGGTAATTAGAAAGGAGCAAAGATACAAGCTTTGTATCTTAGTGTGCAGGAGATTCCATTTGGACTTTAAAAACAGAAATATAGACTACAGATGGAAACCTTTTTTTCCCTGAGCTACCAGATACTTAGTAACAAATCATTTTTATAAGGAAAACTTTGTTCTTCATAATTAATGTACTAGTACATTTTTGAAATCATGGTGATAAAAAGGGAACAGCAACAGAAAGATTTAATACCACCATTTTAAAAGTTAAGATCAGAAGAAAAATGCACCATAGCTGCTTAAATCTAAAAAGACCCTTTCACTAGTTCTGAAGCATAATTCTAACTTAAAGGATAGTTCAGACGTATCTTCATGCCACATTAAAACTTGAATAAAGTGCTCGCTTCAGTGGCACATATACTAAAATTGTAACGATGAAGAGAAGGTTAGCATGGCCCCTGTGCAAGGATGACACGCAGATTCGTGAAGCGTTCCATACTTTTTAAATTAAAAAAAGAATAGAGAAAAAAAAGTGAATAAAAAATAGTCGGAACATAGGTAGAAGGAATCTTCAGCCAGAATGATTTCGTTGTTCTTCATTTAGAAAAGAAAAATCTCAAGATATTCTTGAATTTAATTTCCATTATTTCCTTCATATTCCTGAACTCCCATACCTGCCATGTGCTTGATGGACACCGTGGATAAAAACGGTGGCCGTGAAGTAGTGAGACTGAAAATAATTCTAGAAAGATTATTATAGTCAGAGTTTGGAATTTAAAATGATAGGAAAGGAAGGTCAAATGTTTAAAATTACTTTTGCAGAGGTGGGGTGCTGGCATGCATTGACAAGTCTCCCTCCATAGGTGACTCGTGCCACCCTTGCACCACTGCCCCTCCGCCCCTCTTCCCCAAACCAGTGCTCTGGAGAGTTCTTCCTCTTCACGGCAGTACAGTTAGTTATTAATTGAGATGAAATTGGCATATATCTTATTTTAGTAGAGTCTGATAAACTGTGAGACCTGATAATTTGGTAAGTTATTCAAACTATATCTATAGAAGCATGTTCATTTTTTCCTGTAGATATAACCAAAGAAAATTACTTTTAACGGGACTTAAAAGAGAAGGGGTTGGAATTTCTATGTACATAGACCCAGAGAGCACTTAAACAAAGAAACAAACAGAAACCACCATCAGAGAACAGAGTAGGGTGCCCTGGAGAGTAAACATGCGCAGTGAGGACCGTGAGTCCTATAACATCATTTGTATCTAAATACTGTTACTGTGTGTCTTTGGCCAATAATTATAACACCTCAATACTACTTGTCTCATCTCTTAGCTTCTGGCACATTTCTGAGCAGTCTTTCCTCTTTGTCTGTCTTATATCTCTCACTGTGCCTTCTTCTAGACTATTATCATTCTGTCCGAAACCAGTGTTTTTCCTCCACCCCACTTATTATCAAAGAAGGTAAATACCTTCTTTCAGTGACTAAAAACCTTACTGCCAGTAATACTTAACTGAGCAGAAGGCAGGCTTCCCACTGTAGGCAACCAAAATAACCAATTTAAGAAAAATATTTTTATGTTTATTATGATTGATTTATTCTGCCAAAGTGATTTGGTTTTTCCATAAATTCACTGTTCTTTATATGTTACATATTGTATTGAATATGTGTTCAGTGACTGCTTGATCATGAGCTTTTAACACAGACTCTTCATTAGCCCCCTTCCCTTGTCTTAAAAAAGTTGCTGTCTGTTCTCACCGTGAGAAACCTTCTTTCTACTCCGTCATGCCAGAAAGCTCCCTTTTCCTTTCCTTACAGAGCAGCCTGCGTTTGCTGCACTCACCCAGTGCCCACTCCCTGGCCAACATGTGTGATCTGGTTTCATCCCTAAAGAAACCACTTCTTTCTGGTAACCAGTGGTTTCCTAATTGCCAGTTGACCAAAACACTTAAATAATTTTTTAGATTTATTAGGAATTTTTAAGTTGATTGGAACATTTCTGTTCCCTTTGATATTCATGTACTTTTGGGGATGGTTATTAGTAGAAATGAGTATTTGGAAAACAGAAAGATTAGAATGCTTCCTTCACTACAAAGTAAGTAAGATAACATTTTTCTGGTTTTTGTTCTCAGTGTTTATGGTCTTTAAGGCATCTTTTCAGGGGAAAACTGATTAAGTTTTAAAATTGTGCCTCTGTTAAACACTGTTTTTTGTAATAAGCTGAAATTGCCAAATTAAAGCTTCTAGAAAGATAGTGAAAGACTATTTTTACTGTACGTCTGCATAGATAAAGTGGACTCTGTGTTGTGTTGCAGCTGAGCGCGAGAGCCAGAGCAAGAGAGATGCAGAGAATAAAGTGATGCCCAGGAAGAGCCCTCTGTGTTAGAAAATAGTTATTTACACACAGAATTCCACATCACGAGTCTGAGTCGTGTGCTTTCCAGTCATTGATGAGAAAATCCAGACTCAAAATGCAGCTTTAAGAATCAAGCACATTTTTTATGGCCTAAGTCTATTTTTTAAAGACAACATTGAAGGATATTAATAAATTGGTACAAGATTAAAAGAATATTTTCCACTCTGTACAGGCTATTGGTACTCCTTTCCTTATTAGCAAGTATATGCTTTTTCTTAAACTCTCGTTTTAACTGATTAAAAGTGAGGAAAAAGATAAGAAAGGTCTCTTCAATAATTTATGGATTGAATTTTTCTTTTATCATTTAATGTAGGTTTTATTTATGTCTTATTGTGCTGTGTGTTTATGTGTATATTCTTATGTATAAAAAGGCCAGTCGGCACACAGAATTAAAGCTAGGAATTAGGGATTTTTCTCTTGCTAATAACGTCATGTCCATAATGACTGAGTTCAAAATGAAATAACATCTTTGAATTTAGAATTAAACTTTGATTTGTTTTATTTTTAATTGTTTTCTGTATTTTCTCCATTTCTAAGATGGAAAAAAATTGAATCTAGTCTTTCAGAACAATCTAATCACAAACAATCCATTGGCCTGTGAAACAGCATATTAAAAAAATAAAATTAAGCAAGACATGATTAAATTTTTTAAAAGTGCAGTCTTAAAGAACAAATTGATGCACACCAAACTGATGACCTCTGTGAAGTTGTGTTCTCAGGGTAGGTGGAGAGAGGGTTAAGGGGAAAGGAATTTTAATTTTTTTATTATTTTATACATTTCTAAACTTTCTTTTCCCAAATGAGCATAATTTCATATTATTAATTATTGTAGTCATGGAAATGATGAAGCTAATTCATGATATGATCAACCTTTAAAGTGACAGAATACTTTCCCCAATAACCTCTTGGTGATGGTGACACTGAGACATGTTTTATGGGGCCACACAGGGACCACTCGTTGCGGTACTGGAAGGATGTTCGCCCGTCTCTTCTCTCTTCCAGTAACTGTCTGTCGTGCGTCTGTCATGTGCGAATGAACTGAAATCTGTCTTGAACTAGTGACGTTTTCAAGCTTATACACCCATTTAAGATAATAGATTTTCTCTGCTTCATTATTATCTACTGTGTATGAAAATAGTCCATTTTCATTTCTGTCAGAGCAGCTGTTTCACCATTTTGAGTTACAGAAAGAAGCTCTCAGTTAAATCATTTTTTCTGGGCCAAGGAATTCAAGTCTGTTTAGTTTCTCCTTTTCTTGATGACACTTTCTGCTCTGAGTGATATATATAGACTGTACCTCTCTTCACCAAGTATACTGCCAGAAATTTTAGGTGTTTTTGTTTCTGTTATCACAGAACTAGTATATATGCATTGTGGAAAGTTAGAGAATATAAATGGCAAAAAAAAACCTTTTTAAATATTTTATTTATTTATTTTTAGACGAGGGAGAAAGAGAGGGAGAGAAACATCAATGTGTGGTTGGCTCTCTCACACTCCACACCAGGGAACCTGGCCCACAACCCAGGCATGTGCCCCGACTGGGAATTGAACTGGCAACCCTTTGGTTCACAGGTCAGCAGTGCTCAACCCACTGAGCCACACCAGCCAGAGCAAATGGCAAAATCTTTAAAACAGTTGCCACTACCTAGACATAACCACTGTAACACAGCATTCTAACAGATTTTTAACTTGGTCTTAGGGACATAATTTCTGTCACACATTTTCATAAAGAGATCTTAGGTTGGCTTTCTCATACCTCAAATCTTCAGTTGATCGTTATTGCTCCTATTTCTGGTTTCTCCTCTCAGAGTAGACTAAAATTTTTCTTCTTTTTCTTCATATAAACTTATTTCAAAAAGATTCACTGAGATGGAAAGCAGCATTAGTAAAAATAAAACCTAGTACCAATTATTTTTAAATAGGTCAGGTATCCCAGGGGCTATATTGTAGCAAAATGTACTGAAAAGTCATTCTCTTTTGAAAGTTAATCCCCACCCGTATTCAGGACCCTGGCACTTCCTATGTGTGCTTGTGCTTTCGTTATGTCTCTTCTTTCTTCAAAAATGTTCAAGTCATTCCAACCTTAAAACTATTGGACTGATTCCTCCGTACACCCAGCTACTTTTGATCTTCATTCTCTTTTAAACAGGAAAACCTTCGAATGTTTGCCTGCTGCCTCCACTTTTATCATCTACTTAATTCTTAACTTTGTAATCTTTTATTCTCATTTCTACCTAAATTGTTTTTTCTAAGATTGCTGACAGTCAAGAAAAAGCAATGAATGGAAACCATTCTCATATAACTGTATGATTTGGTACTTTGGAATCCAAATCCTGCTTGGGACCCTATATCTGTCCCTTAACATTTGTACAGAGTTTTACACTCTACAAAATGTGTTGTGTTTGTCCGTGCTTGACCCTTGTAAAGGTATAGGAGGCTTGCAAGGTATTATCCCCATTGTTTAGTTGGGGAAATGGATGTTCATTGAGGGAAATTATATAGCTAGTCTCCTAAATATATGGCAAAGGCGGAGCTAATAACATGTGTTAGAGATGATATCTTTCTAGATTTGTATTGGGACTTTGTTCATCTCTGATCGTTAGGTTTGTTCTTGTGGGTGACTGTAGATAACCAACCAAGTTTGTATAATTTAGCTTATTTTTTTATAGTATTTTCAGTGTGTAAGTTTCTAGGACACTGAATTTGTCTCCTAAAGACATGTAATAGTTTTTCTTCAAAAAAGATAACCCAGGTTTATAAATCTACATGTGTATTCTTATTGCTATGTCAATTTTTGCTTTTCCTTTTTCATAGAAAAAAAGAAATTGTGACTTAAAATTTAAAGGTGATATTCTAGATTAATGAATATGTGAAATTAATTCTGAAGTTATTTTCATTTCTTTGAGCCTTATTGTGACGGCGTCTGAAACCAGTATCAGTAACGATGCCTCCTTGCAGGGTTGTAAGAAGTAAGAGCTGAAATCTTATGAAATCAGCTTCATGAAACATGAATGCCTATTAGTTCTCCTTGTGATAAGTTTCGTAATACTTTGTCCTAATGCAGCATGTTATTTAAGAGATATTA